ATTTTTCCTCTTTTCCAGGACGGCTGGAAAAGAACGACGAAGTTTCGCAAGGAACAGAAATTTTCATTGTACTATATTTCTTTATTTGCTACGTTGTACATTTTGGTCCCATAGTTTAAGGAAAGACGACCAGACGCTGCTAAACGAAGCAAGCTATCAGAAGAGTGTTTACCAACGACAAATTCGTTGGGTATAAACTTCTGGCTGGTCACGTCTTAGGGGCATCACTACCTCACTAGGGGGGGAGTGATCTGTAGCTGTAAATAATTCCCCAAAATCAATAGCTCATTAAGTGTTCGACATTGGATGCTGACCACGTTGTTTAAGTGGACTTGTTTAGCTGAAGGCTTTCGGTCATGCATCCGCACCAGATCACGTTTCAATACTGCGTGGGACACAGCTCCTACGTTTCATTAGCCAGCTCATAGAAAAGGTCCTCGATATATTGGTAACGAATCAAATATATCTTTCCTGCCTATTCTCGTCCGACTTCTGATTTCTATCTGACTGAGAACGATCAAATTTAGAAGGTGCTACTGGTATCTAGTTGTAAAACTAGAATATCCGTTGCATCATCAAAGTCAAGGGCGACCGACGCTTTTCAATTGTTTGTAAGCTGTTGACTGAATCATGCGGAAGTGGTCTCACTTTGTTTCTTGTACCAAAGCTTACTAAGATATTTCTGTAATGGCGTTGTTTATGTTGTAGAGTCATCAACGCAGCCGTCGTACTAAGTTATGACGGAAGAGCAATCCATGATGAGTATTAACCGTGAGGTGTGATGTCTATGTAAGCTGATTGGTCGCGCGTAAATCGATCAGCTCTAATAGGTCCTCAAACATCAACATCGCCTACGTTAGTGTTCAACATTATTATTTCACAACTACGACAGTATAAAGAAAACAGAGGACAAAGGTCACTTTTCCTGATATGATCATATATGTGTGAATATATCATTTTCCCAAAAAGTAATCATAAGACAAATCATGATGCGGAAATAGCTTTTACGTTATCAAATGTTAACAACACTCATGTACATCAGTCTTATTTCTTTCACCCGTTCTGCGTCCTTAAGTACGCACGAGTGCATCCTTGCGGATGTTATGGTATTCTGTCTGATATTACATCATTTTATGTGCCTGATCAAGCTTCAAAACAATCTTCGAGGTTTTGCAGAGCGAAATTATAGCACAATATTGATTTCCAATATCACGTAAGGTAGCAACTGTCGAGCCAAACAACAGGCTACATAGTTGAGGATTGTTAATTCATGTTTTTGGGACGATTTTGTGAATTTTGTTGCAACAGACCGCATAATTTTGAAGATATCTAAAAACCAACCTGTGTGATGAGAAAATGAAGTCTCAGGGATTGAATACAAAATATCCACCGCACATCACTATATATTCCACAATCGTCCGTAGTAGTTCCAATCTGGATGCTGAGAATAGTGGCAAATGGATTACGCGGAAACGCAAAAGGGACGGAAAAATACCCAAAGAAAGCGCGCGTATAGTCGATAAGTCCTCGTTGGACTCACGTCCTGAGCATAAGGCAACTCCGCTCAAGTCCAAATATAAGAAAATAACTAATACTGTTGTGGATGGAAACAGTTTAACCTCACTAAATGTTGTTGTGAGTCACTCGCTCGACCCACATGACACTGTTATAAAGAAAGTTAACAATAAGAAGCCGGTAGCTAACCGGCAGGATCTGACGTCACGGTCGAAGGCCGTGAACACGACTTTTAAGGAAGTTAAACAGGTGCCTAGTGTAATCATCTGGAACTTGGCAAAATCGAAAGACACCGATCCCGCTAAGAGACATGCCCACGACCTGCAGTTAGCGGGATCTCTCATCAGAAATATACTGCCCGATGAGGTCCCAGGGGTACATGTCGCGAAAGTTATCAGACTCGGTAAATATGATGGAGGCGAAACCCAACAGAGAAGGATCCCTAAATTAGTACTCGGTAATTTTGAGGAAAGGGACGTATTACTAAATAACGCTCGCAAAACTAGTGACTCAAACATTCGTATTCGACCTGACTGGCCACTTGAAGATCGGATCAAGTGGAAGAATGCCCTAACAGAGTTAAAAACTCGAAAGCTAAACGGTGAAGCGAACCTTACGATTAAGGGTTTTCAGGTAGTCAGGTCTTGGAAGCCAATTCTTCCGAGACCTGTGTGGGTAGAACGCATGTCTCCAAAAACACCCTAAATGTGTGTTATACGAATGCTCGTAGTCTTCTGAATAAGATGTCTGAACTAAGTTTGATGGTAGACGACTTAAATACGGATATAATTGTTATCACCGAAACTTGGCTCACTGTAGATATAGACTGTTCTCCGGTCATTTCAGGCTACATCTGTATCAGAAGTGATAGAGTTAGAAGTGGCAAGGGAGGAGGCATAATATTATACGTTAGGGACCACCTATGCATAAACTCGATCATATCGGAGGCGCATGCAAGTGGTACGTGTGAGGTAGTATGTTGTACAATCAGGTCTAGAAACGGGTTAGTGATGATAGGAGGAATATATCGTAGTCCGTGTTGTCTTGCTGACGACTTTATCCTAAGACACGTTTGTTCTTGGAGTAAGGCAGAATCATGTCTCATTGTTGGAGACTTCAATGCACCCATATAAACTGGATAGAGCTCACAGCTCCAGGTGGGGGTTTCGATAGCGTCCTTCTGTCATCAATTATTCAATGTGCACTTGTACAATGTATCGTTAAGCCGACGCATATAGACTTGGAACATAATCCGTTATTGATGAACCTTGTCCTCACACACCACTGTGAAGATATCGTCGACATTCAACACCTTCCCCCACTGGCGAATAGTGACCATGTCGTACTTTCCTTTAAGTTCCGGATACATGGAATAGAATTTGCATCTGCTCCACCCCGTCCTAATATCTGGAGAGCTAATATTCCGGCAATCAGGGACTATGCTATCTCAATTGACTGGTCGGTCGATGCTGATGGATCGATTGATGATGCATGGAATAGGTTTAAGTCTACGTTCGAATCCGTAACTCAGCCGTTTATCCCATGGTCAGCACGTAAGTTATCATATTGCCCTCCATGGATTAATAAGGAAACCCGGAAGCTGTTGAAGCGTAGGAAACACTTCTGGGACTTATTCTTGTCAACAGGTCAGGCATCATTTAAGTGCGAATATAAAAAATCCGGAATATATGTAAAAAGACCATAGCTAAATCCCGCACGGCTTACGAACGACAGTTGGCCTACGATAGCCGTACCTGTCCGAAGCGCCTGTTTTCGTACGTTAAAAGGCGGACGAAACGTAGTGATGGCATCCCCTCATTACTGTTAAGCGAAAATTCAGCTTTATTGGCTGAATCTGATCTGGCGAAAGCGGAGTTATTTGCTAACTATTTCAGTGAAGTCTACTCTACGTGTAGTGTTACAACTACTTGTCCCGTTGACAATGAGATACCAGCCATAGGACCCTTACACGTGACAGAGGATATAGTTCTTCCTTTGATAACTAACCTAAAACCTTGTAAGATACCGGGCCCCGATGGGTTACACCCACGTTTGCTGTCGTCGCTTGCGGACATTATCCAAAGACCGCTCACGATGCTCTTCAACATATCCCTTTCACAGGCTCAACTACCTAGAGACTGGAAAGACGCCATAGTTAGTCCTATATTTAAGGATGGTCAGAGACAGATCGTATCTAACTACCGGCCTGTTAGCCTGACCAGTATAGTAGTTAAGTTACTTGAAAAATTAATTCGGACTTAGCTACTAAGCCACATAGATTCGTACAATCTGTTAACTCCCGAGCAACATGGGTTTCGTAACAAGCATTCATGCTTGACTAACTTACTCATTGCGAGAGAGGATTGGACAGCTGCCATAGACAACGGCCAGTCTGTCGACGTGATATTCATAGATTTTAGCAAAGCGTTTGATAAGGTTTCACACTTAGGTCTTATGCAAAAGCTCTCGAGCTTTAGAATAACAGGTGCTATACAGGAATGGATAGGAAGCTTCTTATGTGACCGCAGACAGAGAGTGAGAGTCAATGGAACTCTATCCTAATGGAAACCGGTCAAAAGTGGTGTACCTCAAGGCACTATCTTAGGCCTTCTACTTTTCCTTCTGTATATTAATGAACTACCTTTATTGCTTAAGTCGTCGACGTTATTGTTTGCGGATGATGTTAAAATCTGGAGAACAATAAGAAATGAGACTGATCGTTGTTATCTACAAGTAGATTTAGATGAATTAGTTAGGTGGGCTCGTGATTGGGGCCTGGAAGTTAATTCCAGGAAAAGCGTGTCCATGCACATCGGGCACGATATTAGTTACCATTATACCATTAATGGTACATCTCTGCCACGCGTTCATGAGCACAAAAACTTACGAGTAATTATAAGTCACGACTTAAAAACTACTACGCGCTGTAATGCGGTTGCTTCCAAAGGCTATCGAGCGCTATGGTCGCTTCGCAGAGCATTTAAATGCTTTGACGAGGAGATGTTTCGAATTTTATATCCCACCTATGTAAGGCCACACTTAGAATACTGTATCCAAGCAGCTAGCCCTTGTCTGATAAAGGATACTAAATCGCTTGAGCGTGTCCAGCGTGTAGGGACAAAATTAGTAAAGGGTCTTTCTAAACTCCCTTACGATGAGCTTTTAAAACGTCTAAATCTTTTCCCCTTATCTCATCGTAGGACGCGAGGTGACCTTATACTGGCATTTCGTATCTTTAATTATGATCTGGGTGTTAATATGTCTTATCTTTTTGCTCCCTCCAGCACTAATAATCTCCGGGGTCATAGCAAGAAGGTTCTGAAACCGCGATCTAATAAACAAAAGGTGGGGTCCCGTTTTGCTCATTTAGTGGTCAATGATTGGAACGCTTAACCAGAACAAGTGATATCAGCACCATCAGTGAACATTTTCAAAAAGAAGCTGGACCTTCACTGGAAGGAAATCTGTCAGGATTAACACAGGTTCATCAACCTACTATCCTTATTACCGAAGACTGAAGACTATTCAAGGTCGTTGCAATAAAAAAGCGGGCGACCTTGGGTGGGCACGGATTTTTTTCCAGTGCCGTTCACGTACATGTCCTATAGACATGCAAAGTGCGTCCATGTTTCGTTTTGAATAACTTTGCAATTGGTTTTTCTCAAGAATTTTCACCTGATGCACTCTACACAGTTTCTCATTTGAGTCAGTAAACAGAAGACGGAAAGCCATTTTAATAAGTACCAAATAGTATAACGTCACGGTGGCAATTTTTAACATGATTGGAATATATACTTCAATTTTAACTATTTTGACCTACATGCTAGCCTATTAACTTCCGAATCGCTCAGTGATGTGTCTATTCACTAGCAAGGCTTGCAAATAAATTTAGCTACGTTAGTGATTTGGTCGGAAATTGCACTGTTTTCCATCGTTAAGTCATTCAATGTATTTTAGTAAAATGTTTTATAGCTGTTACTGTAGTAGCGATTCTGATGATCCCATATAATATGCAAGTCGCACGTCTTACCTAATTCCTAACCCGAAATTTGATAACAATCAATTCTTATTTTCAAACTAAACTATTATAAAAATGTCTGATATTAAATATTGTCGATTTTTTTCATCAGTTTAAAGCTTACTAACGAAGGCCTTCTATGATGTTTCTAGAGTGACCAGATCTTAATCTTATTCGTGCAGTACATATCGTAATTCACTCAACTCATTTCCTTTGTAATATTCTTTGGCTGCAGTAGGCTTTTATTGGTCTAAATTCCCAGGGGGTCAAGATTAGGTGTTCATCCGCTTAATCACTATACGACCACTATAAAGCTAGGTGAATTTAAACATTGGGATATTACATTGTTGTCCATTGTGATTTATTTGGCTATCTCCAGTGGTATCATTGTCATTGTTTATCAAGGTATTTCGCCTCTGTGTACTGATATTCGTTTGTTTGATATTACAAAGCTTTCCGTTTATTACAACGAATCACTTGCTACAAATAAGTTAGGTTTTGGTGGGATGTGAAATAAAATTTATTCACTGAGAGTATATTTGATGAAAAAGTATAGAATTAGTTTGTCTAAGTTTTATGTTACACCACACTTCAAGTTTCTTGTGTATTCATTGTCATTAAAGGTAGTCCTCATACATTTTATGACCTAGTGAGTAAAGGAAAAGCAGCAAAAGCGAGGTAGACTTCTTACTTTCCAACAACTTAGCTAAATAACCCCTGAAAATAAAGGATGAGTATTGATCTTAAATAAGGAATCATATGTCCCCTCTTATTGCGCGTGGCGAAACGGTCCAGTCCGTCATATGCAATGAAAAGGACAAACAAAGCCAGAATGCACCGATCGTGACCCATGTCACTCAAAATCTTCAAATAATAGATGTACCTTTGGCAGTGCAAACGATTTTGAACTATATCATTCAAAGTCTCTAACGATTGGTTACAATCACCATGCGGATTCCAACCATTCAGTCTACACTTATTAACATAGCTAAGTTCAATTATCAACGACCTCATGGACTTACACCATGTCTTGGTTACATCGCGAGTTCGAACCCTAATTCACCTTGATGTTTGAATATTCTGTTAATACCATTATTTCCCATAAATAAATGGTGCTGAAATGCAAGTACATAAGATTTTGCACTGCTAATGATTTACACCATTGTGTTTTCTTAGATGACCATTCACTTTTAAATAAAGTCTGTTTCTTATATACTATCACTTAAATTTATACTTTTCAAATTATTCTCGATCTTACTGTCGATCGCTTTGGACTTCTTTATCTGCAGCTTAGATTGTCAACATGAACTTGAAAATCTGCGTTCCAACTTAGCAACAGCCAATAGTCTTATAGCTGAATTAGAAACGAAACTTAGTGATTTACGTATGAAATATGATACTGACTGTTGTAAATATGAAGAGAAGATACAAATCTTAACAGAACGGCATGAAAGGTGAACCATGTTTTTTGTAAACGTTGTTACTATTGCCATTGCTTTGTGGTGACATTTTTATTTTGTACATAATATCACTAGACTAAACAGAATTGACTTGTGTATTCCCTATCTAAATTGTCTGTTATTCACTATAGTGACAATAGCAGTAAAAAATACGAATAAAACGGTATACTTTCAGTTTTATCACGCGTTTGCTCTTTTTGTTTGGAACTTTATTTGTAATTAGTATTTGTCATCAAGTTATGTTATTTAAGGTATTAATGAGAAGAATCGAAATGAATAGTAAAATTAATTTTTCAGCTAGTGGACCTGTTAATTTCGTCTTTAGTATGATATTTTAGCTTTGTTAGATGGATATGGTTGTCAAATTCTGTTTGCTTTTTCTGGGTGCTTCATACGATTTCAGTGAGTGTTAAAATTCACCTTTTATTAATTTACTGTAACTTTAAAATAAAAAGGGTTGTAAGACCCCCAAAATGCGACACATATATTAGTAGTGTATTTTAATCAGAATTACACTCTATTTAAAGTGCTTGTTTATTGTTTTTATAGTTTTTGATTTTTCTCCAATCAATGTCAATTCATACTGAAGGGTTTTCAAAAGGTTATAATTAGTTATTCTTAGTAATTAAAGATTAGGTGGTAGCTGAAATTGAATATAGTGCCGCAGATATTGTCATTCATCATCTTAAAGCTTGTAATCTAGTTGTGCTGCACAAAATACTTTTGACTCTTCGTGTCCTTATGTTTTCTTATATTGTTGTTTTTATTGTCCTTGTTATCTGTTTTTGTTCTTTTTGATTCTTCCTGCTCTGTGATGATTTTAAGCTTAAAAGCTAAAACCAACACACACATTTACTATGTCTTATTTTATTTACATCTGTTTTTGTAAATGTTTTTTTAAACATAAAGATGTATAAAAGCAAACAACAGAAAAACTTGGTGATAATTCTTGAAAGCATTAGGTATTAGGTGCCCTGAAGAAAAAGACCTCTTTTTAGGACTTCTATCCTTCATCAACCATTATTTGGGTTGGTTTTATCTTAGTCCTAGTTTCATTTTGACTGTGTATATAAAAAACAACACAAAACGTGCGTGCATAATTCACAACTTTATAGATAAATATGTATTGACGGGTTGATTATGGACCATCACTCTTGTGTGATGGTTATAGATACTTGTGAGTTGTTCTATATTTGTTAATTAACACAATTGGTTGTTCAAACGTCATGGTTCTACGTCACTAAGCCATCTTTTTGATGAAAACATTTGATAGACATTATTTGAGCGTAACTTGGTTTTATGAATCAAGCGCAAATCAGGATTTATGGTTGTTTCCTCTTTTCAAGTGAGCTAACAGTATCATGCATAACCAAATATTACCACTTTATGGCATTGGCTTACTTTACTGTCTGTATTAAATATAACAAAAAGAAGTTATTTGGAAATACTCTAGAGGTCTTGCTTTACTTCTAAAGTGGGATTCTTACTCTTGCACTTTGAATTATCGTCACTGACCCGGAGTACTTATTGCATTCAATGATCTTCGCTTTTTACTTACTAAACACCTAGATTTTTTCAATGTTGCTTTTTTTCATAAATCCTAGGGTTCCATGTAATGTATGTTTACAAATATTTTACTTTCTAGGGATACTAAGAGCTTTCTTATAGGTTGTCCGTCTCCTTTTTGATTGAGCATTGTGTTATGAACTGTTGTGAGACTTTTGAAGATCGTCAATTCACACTATCCCTCACTAATTGCTGTGGGGTATATCCCATGTAAAGCTCAAGACACTTCGAATTGTCATTATGTTTGCATAGAAGCACATCACCAATGAATAATTTTTCTGGCCGATAGTCAAGATTAGAAGTGGAGAATCTTAGACTTTCTTAATAGAGTTATTAATATAAGATAACCACTGACTAAGTGGTGTATTAATTATGATTTTTCCATTTATTTTCCCTTTAAATTATCAATATTTAGTTATTTTAGACTTGATCATTCTTTAGATTTACATAGTGTATAGACATCTCTATCTATCGTGTACAAACCAATGAACTGAATATTCACCTATTACATCGTTTCTGTCATTTAATTTTTAAGCTTGTACTCTGTGAGGGGTGTATGTGTTTAATTTATCAACTGACTTCATGTGATATCAACACATTTTAACGTTTGTTTAATCTATGCGTACTTACTTAAGGTTGACTATGATTTTTCTTCGAGAATGACTTATTTATTACAGATTTATAAAATTTTTTTCATAGAAACGCTATTTTGTAGTTAAATAAGTGACTAGCTTTGTCTCATCCTTTGTTTGTAATAAAACAGGTTGAATAGACAGACCATGTGTATGTGGTGCTCTCTATACCTCCAAAGAAAATCAGAATACATAGCCTCTAGTCCAGTTACCAGATCAGCATTACTTTAGTAAATCATTACTGTTTGTAGTGGGAGTTGAAATATACATATTTATTGTTGTAATTATGTTACTTCCATTAGTTTTCTCTTTATTATTGTTGATTAATGTTTGCTTTCTAAAGAATCACATTATTGACCATTATGTTTATAAGTAGGTATGATAGTAAATTTCATGAACTCAATAGGTTGTTGTCTTTTAGCAAACAACTAGTAAATTTCACTTGACTAGTGATTACTCTACTAGGTTTATTTTAGCAAACTAGTAAATATGTTGTGTATGCTATTTTAGAGTCTTTTTCAGTGCCTTATTTTGTTGTATCCCGAAGAGAATTACAAATTTTAACTTTTGAGGACTATTTATTGGTCAATATGATATGTATATTTCCTATTGTAATTAACCTAATCACATTCGTTTCCTCTTATCACTAACTTTATTTTGACCTTTGAACTATTATTATACGATCCTTGAGTTATCATCAGTTTATTGATTACTATTCACAACCACATTCGGCTAAATATTGTACAACTGTCATTATCTATTTTATGGGTCGATATGGTCTGTTTGGTTGGTATATAAACTCAGTATGTTTGAAATACAATGATTCATACCACTGAGACTGTTATTGGTGTTTTGGACTTAAATGGCTGGGCTAGGCAAATCGCAGGACCGGTTAGCACTCTAGACTGCTCGTACGGTTTTCGTGTCACTGTTCCAGTCGATAATTCGCTGCTCTCTGATTGGCGGTTCTATCGCGTCACACATTAACTAGTCATCCACTCGGCCACAAGCATAACATATTTACTGACAACAAATCTATAAAAAAGTGATTAATCAATCGATGCTAAACGTATTACTTAATTTTAAATATTTTATAATCTTGGTTTAAACTTTGACTGACCGTAAGAATCAACTGCCTAAAAATCTGTCGTCATAATTCAGTTAGTCTTGAAAATTTCACAAACCAGGCCTTAATCCCATTTAAGTTTCTGAGGTGGATAATAATAGCTAGCTGCCTAACGGAAGACTGATATAAAACGGGGATCAATTGGCTTTTATGACATTAACATCTAAAGCCGTTGAATACTAATCTGGGTTTTGTCGAGAAATATAGAGTTCCTGGTATGTGATTGTGAAGTCATCGTAATTTACTTTAATACTTTAGGTGAAGTGAACCTAATTCGTTTGAAGTGCAATATTCACTGTCATTCTTTGTCTTCCTGTAAGTTATGACCTTACTGGCTTCATTTGATCTTATTCGATTCTTTTAAATTATATTTTTATTGTTTAGTTCTCGATTGTAATCGATATGATTTTTCCTATTCATTCGCTTTTTTCCTGTTTTTCCCCTCTCGAAGTGACGATCGGAGATTCGACAACTTGAACTGATACATGTTTATCCGAGGTCTTAATTTTTCACTGACCGATTAGTGGGTATTTAACCATGTTTCCTAAGGTTTGTAATCATTGTTTCATAAAATCTGGCTAATTTTAATGTAAACGTTTGAGGTTTTTCACGTGATAGTTAGCAACTCCGGTGATTGATTCACTGAAGTAATTTCGTTCCAATGTATTTAGCTAGGTTCGTATATGTGAAAGGTAGCTAAATTTAATATTATGAGCATTGTTTTATTCGTTATTATTCTGTATACCACCACATAATTAACCTTATTATTTTACACCAGTTTTCCATAATTTACTGAAGTCGTTTTCTGTTTTTTTTATTTTATTGATTTCACATCGTTGTACTCTGCTTTCAGTTTGATAATTGCTGTGTATATGTTCCACGTGAATCATTGTAGAAGACCGGATAGGCATTTCAAGTGGTTAATATGTTTTTTAGTGTGTGGGTATGTGGAGATCATAGTATTTTCGTAGTTGAATTCATGATTCCATCTAAGCTAGACCACCGTTTAAAACATGGAAATACTGGACTTAAATGAAACATGAATGGTTGCTAAAATAATGAATTTTCATTCGAAACACTGCGCTTTAGAAACATGGTCTCAAGTGTACATTAGAAGACAGACGGACGTTAATATAATCCATAAGTCTGATTTAAACATATTCCACAACATTGTATCGTTTATTTTGAAGTATAATTGTCTTCGACTATGTAAAGGAAGGATTAGGATACTGGTACGAAATTCTATAACCTTATTCTTTAGAACATCATTGAAAGATGCTATCTATTGATTACAGACAACCACGCTAATTTTGTACTTCGTTTGTTCTCTCCAAAATCTGCTGTCCACATACATCTATGGTTTCGAACTAGTGTTTAATAAACCCTTTGGATAGTTCTTCCATACCCACTAACCTCAAATAAGCACCGAAATAAGTATACTGATATACTCATCCCTTTATGTTGCATTTCAGTTCAGATTAAATTATTAAACGAGTTTAAAATTGTGTGTTTTTTGATATCTATACACTATATGTTATTAGTGATATTTTATTACCATGTGCAAACATCTTCGATGTTTCACATCACTTCATTACATTATTTATAATGTCATGGTATTGATATTTTCAGAAAGGCATAAATATATTTTTGGTCTTCACTATTGACATCCATATTATTTTGTCAACGTATTTCCAATCAAACCAATGTCTTTATTGTTGTCTTATCATACTACATTCATTCTCTTTTACTTTGGTCTTTCTACTGTTTCATTTGTCAAAATAAGCACACTTTTGTTTAGATTGTCTTATGTACTTCAGTTTTTTTTATTCCTTTGTTTAGATTAATCTCAAGTCATCAACGATTAAGTAAACTTAATCATGAATTAGAAGAGAGACTATTAGATACTGTAAGTTTGTTTCACTGTCAAATTGCCATTTTAGTATATGTAAACCTCTTAATCGAAGATTATTTCAGACAGTTTGGCTATAGTAAAAGTAACAGTAATAGTAAAGAATTCTCAGCATAACGTGAAATAATACGACAAATTTCTCTTTAAAATAAATTAAAATTCTAATTATTCCGAAAGGTATTTTGTTTCTGTATGGTTGAAATGCACCACATCTTTATTCGTTAAAGCTCCCTACCAATCTCTTATGTTCTATATATTGTAATATTACCTTGGTAACGGCGAATGAAACGTAAACCAGCAACTCAATAACAGGACGGAGCTAAGCTATTCCTTTGTGCCCCAGCTGTGCTAACTAAAGGAAGAAAACTAGAGTCAGCAGGAATAATAATAATAATCACTTCACTCATGTGTATTATTTACAATACAAAAGTATCCTTAAAAAGTGTCTAGAAATAACGCACTAAAAAGGGAAACAAACCAATGACGTTTAAGACCCTTTCAGGTGGGAGACAGAAACTGAGGATAATGATGGGCGCTTTTGGTGCGAAAATAACAATTCGAATTTTACCAAGTAATTTCTGGGGGTCTAGCATCCCCATGAGTGACAAGAAAAGATCACAAGAAACACGGATTTATATCAAAATAACAGTAAGTAAAGGTAACAGTGTTGCTCTCTCAATAGATAATCTGTCAAAACAACACAAGGTGTCTCCAAAATTGTGATTTAAGTAGAGAAAATTATCTACAAAACATTCTGTTGCTATTTGAATATGGGACTTCGGAATCGGACTTGAAAGAAAGAAGTCGACACAACTGCTAACGAAAATTGTGCTACGGCTGGGAATGGAACTTGTCAATAATTCAGCGTATCATTTTGGTTTAAGTGGCACCCATTTTGTATTATTTCGTTAACTGATGATAATGTACATATATCTTTGTATAAACTAATGACTTTGTTAGCAAACAAATAGTCTTTATGTAAAACGGTGTTTGTTTATTTCCTTGTGTCAAATTATACTGCGTCTCAGTTTCAGATATATCACAATCAAGACATCAAGTTCGCCGGTATCAAAGTGATATAAGATTTCTAATCGTCATAGTTACTTATTCGATGCATATTTGCTTTCGTCTGAATTCACTGTAAATTTTACTTTGTTTTATTTTCTCAAATTTCCATTAAAATTAAACGTTTCATGCGTATATATATATACTTACGTCTGTTACTCCCAATGGAGCATAGGCCACCGACCAGCATTCTCCAACCCACTCTGTCCTGGGCCTTTTTTTCTAATTCTTTCCAATTTTTGTTCATTCTTCTCATGTCTGTCTCCATTTCTCGGCGTAATGTGTTCTTTAGCCTTCAGGATTCCATGTGAGGGCCTGTCTTGTGACGCAGTTGGGTGACTTCCTCATTGTGTATCCTATCCACTTCCAGCGTTTCTTTCTGATCTCTTCCTCCATTGGAATTTGGTTCGTTGTTTCCCACAGTAACTTGTTGCTGATAGTGTCTGGCCAACGGATCCGAAGTATCTTGCATAGACAACTGTTAATAATTACTTGTATCTTCTGGATGATGGCTTTCGTTGTTCTCCACGTCTCCGCCCTATACAGTAGAACTGTATATATACTTGCTTCTTAGCAGGCATTTGTAGTATAGTTTGTGTATTTAATTCTGAATGAAACCTATTGTATTGCTATTGAGAAAGCGTTTGTGTGTGTGTTATTTTTAGCTAAATTTATGCACGGTAATAAACCAATTAACTGGTGATAGAGATTATAGCCATCCTTTTTGTTTTAATGCATAAGATAGTCTTAGTTACAGGTTTCAGTGATCACTTCATATCCAATTTTATCATTAAGAAGAATTTAGTATGCCTTTGTGATGCTTTTTATTCATATAATAACAATAGTAATAATAATCATTACAATTACTACTATTTTGTGAGTTTACATTTATTTGTTTGTTTTCTTCTTTTGGTTAATTGCTTGAAATAAGCTTACACATATTATGTTATTTCTTTTAAATAAAAAAGACTATTATCCATTTGCTTAGATTGAAAAGTCTGGTACAGAGATTCAACAATTAACTGAAGAATTGGAATCAACTAAACACTCTTTAAGAACAGCACAACAGACATTAAATTCTATCGTAGAGGAAAGGGTCAGTTTGGTTAGATTTTTTATCATTTTGTGTAAATTTCATTATTTCTTTTCTAATCTAGATATTTATGTGTATGCAAAGATAAATACTTCTAAATAAAATGTATACAGTTCTTCTACTAAGCACTAGTTTATGGTTTTATCTTTGAGTTAAACCATTTATATTTGAGGTCTTGTGATTCTTCTATGACTAATTTATGGGGTTCGAACCGGTTACTGGTCAAAGTGTTAGTGCTTTGGTCATTTATTTCCCGTCCCACATACATTTATTAGCCAACACCAACAAGCTATTGTTGACAAGCTTCACCTTTAGTTAAAAGAATAACTTTCACTTTAGCAGTATTAATGATCTTTTGAATAAATATATTCAGTTGATACTTCAATATGCAGCTAGGTATTTCATCTATAATAATTTCACTACTTACTGTTGACAGTTCACTTTCCTCAGTAGGTTCAGACTTGTAGTTCTGTGTGAAATTACAGGTATTAGTCATTTTATAGCAAACCCTTATTCTGTTTCTCCATTTTTTTACCATCTTAAAATTCTATAAATCTCATCCTGTCGTTTCAAGATTTGACTAGATTTCTTTTGTTTAAACGTTATTTAAAGGTGAATAAGTAACCCGTTCACGCATATTTTTTTAAATTGCTGAGCATGAATGTTATTAGTGGAGAGTAATTATATTCTTTAAAACTCATAGGTTTGGAATATCCTAGTGTATATAAATCGCTTGAAATTAACTTAGCTAACACTTGTCTAATTGACTGATCGCTGAATAATAATCAGTGGCATGTTTGTCTAGTCATTTAGTAGTGATCAATTTCTATGGACCAGGTTTCATTGTTGTTATGAATTTAGAAATAGCAGGCCGTATGCCAATTTGTTGTGGTCTTATGTCCGGCTTTTTGTCATGTGATTTATCCACCAGACGGAATATGACTTGTTTAATCTTAGCACTATGCCAAAACAATGACGTTTGACAGATATGAGCAGTCTAGCGCTCTTCTTGGTCCCTTGTCCGCCTAGCCCTTCCAATTGAGTCCAGAACACCAATTGCAGCTGCTGCTATGCGAATCATTTATTTCAAGCATACTCCGTTTATATATCAGACAGACAGACCGCATCACACCATAAAATAGAAAATAATATTTGTACAAGATCGAGCCAAATGTGGCTGTGAACGGGAAACAGTAATCAATAAACTGAGTATAATTTAGAAACAGTAATTCGTATAATAATAATTCATAGGTCGAAATGAAGCTTATAATAAGATGAATATAGATATACCCAATCGACTTACTCAATAGCTAAACAATAAGAATATACATAGAATAATCGTCCATTAATATGTCCCGGGAGTTACCCATACTTATTTCTTCACTACGATATAACAATTGTGACTCCTAGTCGGAGTGAAGTTAGTCGCGACCTGAATAGCTCAGTGATAATATCTCACTCTGTGGATCTGGGTGACACGAGGTTGAATCCACCATGGATTACCAATCCCCTAAAGATACGCCTTACTGACCAGTTCCAAATTGCATGGAACTTACGTCTTAGGTTTCCTATTTTTGTTATGCGCCGACAAAGTCCACTTCACTTTCAAATGGGAGTACTGTTGACAGAAAGATAGCCTAACGATTGTTAATCTTCTGTGATCATTACTAGCTAATGTGTATCTTTGTCGAGAAATTGATAGAAGACTTAATCGATAATCTGCCTTTTAATGTAGTACATGGATAATATCATAGTCATACATGAAGAATCTGAAAGTTCGAATTGTCTATTAACGAAATTCGGTACACCGCACAAGCATATTAGTCTTTTACCAAGAGATGAATGATCACTTCCCATTCTTCGATATACTTGTTAGTGAAAAATGAAGATGGATCAGACAAACTCTCTATCTATTGAAAGACTATATGGACAGGACACTAAAGTACTTTTTGTATTCACTGTTCTGTCCGATGCAATTCGGGTTCGTAAGCGCATATTGGTTCTAATTTATCGGATCTACACAACCAATAATATTGAGGACAAAGTAAGGTAAACTTTTGTCATTATAATACTGATTTACCAGATGAATGGATATTCTGATAGAGTTTATTAAATTTCTTATTTTCATGCTTGTCCCACCATCATTAGTGTAATCTTGTCATTTCTTATTTCTCTGATTACTTTTCAGGATCGTTGTAAAGAAGATTGTATTTCTGCTGTCAAATTGCTTCAGGAAAACCCAAATCAATTCATATCTGAATTGCCACCAATTGTAAGTAAAACTGTGCCATTTATTAGTCGTGGTTATATGTTTGTAAATGATAAATTAACGTAATGTTTTCTATGATCTCACCAATTATTAATCAAACGACATTGCTCCGGGTCGACAATGAATTTCACGTTTTTTCTATATGTCAAATATGCACTTTTCATATTTCACTGGTGTACGGTTAAGTGAACTATTTTTGAAGCCAATCTCCGTTAATTTTCATGCTGATAAGACAGTATCATTAAAAATAAAAGCTATCTTCCACAAACACCTTATCGTTGAAGCTTAATACAATCTATCTTAAACTTGAACATCGATGATACTGTATCCTATTAATTCCTATGTGGTTGTGTTGTGATTGTAACCACTATTAAAACTTAAATTATTATAAAACAAGCAAAAAGAATACAGTGCCATTTACAACCCCATATGTAGTTTTTATTGAGTACTAAAAATAATATATTGAACTAATTACACTCGCGTTTCTAAAACGTTTGAGAAGTCGTTAAAGAGTTGAGAGACCTTTTCTGAGGATCTTTTGGGAATAATTGACTTGGAAAGTGTTATAGGCTACAATTTCACGTTAATTTTATAAAAAAAATTTGTTTAATAGTTAAATTTTAAAGCAATATATTTTACCCACTAGCAAGTCACTATAGTCATACAACACTGGTGTTTGGATTTTATGGTCACGTTACTTGTCGTTATTCAATGTCAATAAGATTAGAGTTTTAATCGTATTCATTGCATTTGTTTTATATGGCATTTCGCATAGATACTCTTTGTACTAGCCGATCAGTTGCTAACTTTTTAACATTTACTCATTCAAAACCAAATCCTTCAAATGATAAATATACATTCCAGCAATCGTTATGTACCAATTTAAGGACTGTAACGCAGTGTACGTTAATCTATAGTTTAAGTGTGCTTTTGATAATAGCTATAATGAAAATGTATAATTACTTCGTCACCTTACAGATCAAGACAATGGTTAGAAGGATTTTTTGTTAAGAGAAATTACAAAGCGTTTACATAATACATATATATTTCCTTCGATCATCCATCTGCGTTTAGTTGTGTGTTCTGCAGTTCAAAATGTTCTCTCATATACTCACAAAGTGTCCTGCCTACTCTGTTCTTTATGTACTGCAACCCTTCACTTCATCTGACGACAGCGACAACTGGCACACACTACTTGCGAGCAATCTTGTGGATAGCATTCACTACAACCGAAATACTTTTTCACCAATACTCCACAAGCTGTCTTGATGTTTTGACGTATGTAAGTTTCTTACTGAAATAGTTATCCTTTATTTTTTGATTTCGTATTATTTCAGGAATCCCCACCACCCGATAAAATTCATATATTAACAAATCTTAGCAACGGAGATTGCTCACATGGTGCACATAACTCACCGTTCTCCAGTTCTGCTTCTATCTTTTCAACATTTTTACCGACATTTCCACCTGTTGGACTTTTTACTGGTATACAGATGGAGAATAATTTGCAAGTATCACAAAAAAGTTCTTCGAATAATACCTATGGTCGTAACATTAATTCGTTGACTAAAACAACAGTAGTCACATCTGTTAACTGTACATCCTCATGCAAATCTAGTGGTATAATTGATTTGTAGTTCTGCATGTGTTTTTCTTGAACTAACTTTTTAATTTTTAACCTAATGTTAATTTCTGTTTTCTATTTATTCTTTATCTGTGATATTTATATTTACGTATGTTCAGTGCAGATAGTTTTATTTCTTGTTACTGGCATCCAGTCTCCTTTTTTATGTTTGGCAAATGCAATCAATAACAATTTAACATAAAATTCGTTAAAGGTTTAAGAAAGTGTATCGCCGACTAAAATTCCTGACCTTTTGAAATTACGTGTAGAGTAAATTTACATCCAAATGATTCATAAATACTGTAGTGCTTACAGAGCAATTAGAATAGTAACTGCATTGGAAGATAAGTGGGATATGTAAAGGACAGCTCACTGAAGATGAGCAAGTGATGTATTTAATTTATTGTTTTCAGACTTCAAAAATACAATGTGGTTTTGCATAATACGCTAAATCGGTTTAACCTATCAAGTCTCCGTCATTACTGGTGGGTCGAGCTTCGAACCTTAGACTTTCTGACTAAAGGTTGAACACCTTGGCAATTAGGCCACCGTAACACTATCTATTTCTCAGATGTGATTTTAAATATAATGACGTCCTAATATCGATATAGAGGTGACCAGAAACCAATATGGCCACCATTTAAATCAAGAATATGAGAGCGTGAGGATCAAACAACATACCAGCTGAAGCACTGGCGCCAGAAATAGAAATAAGTGCAAAGATGCTTCACATCCTTTACGAAAATATCTGAGAGGGATAACGTGTTGGTAGACTGGAAAGAAAGATATGTCTTCAATATAGCAAAAAAGCAGATCTCAGTAAGTGTAAGATTAACAGACTTATCACATTGTAGGCACTGAGAATTTTTTATGTAAATGTTCCCGAAAATTCAGTGTACTTTAAACTTCAAGATCACCATTCTTGATTCCAAAAGGAATCGTCGATGAATAACGACTTAAACTCATTACGGATCAATCAGTTAAATGGGACTTGTCACTAAACACCAACTTTCTTGATTATGAAAAAGTATTCGTCAGCATGAATTGAAGAGCACTATGAAACACTTCAAGTGTGCCCGAGAATATCTTCAACATCATACGGACTCATTCCAAGTCGAGACATGCTTCAGACAAAACTGTTGACTCTCTCCCTCTTTCTTTTTTCTGGTGTTTGGCTGGATCGTGAATACTTGAAAATCTCAGGATAAGCACTGAGTAAAATGTACGGATTGGATGCGGCTAGACAATTCCAACTACATAGACTACCGTGATCTTTTATCTCAACATGGAAAAAATGAATGTAGAGACAACCGGCGTAGCAGCAGCCTCTAGAGCCGTAAGATATAAAAGTGGAACAGCAAGATCTCAAAATGTAACAGTGCACAATCACACTTGATGGGAAGCTCCGAAGATTGTGGAGAGCTTGACGCACTTTTAAATTGTACAAAAAATGTTGTGTATTTATTACTGCTATGTTATAAACATCAACCATACTCTTGCTGTAATTCGTGTATTGTTGATTTTATCAAAAATTATAACAAAGCGCAAACTATCGTTTATAAGGAGAAAGATTCAACGAGGTGTGAAAATATTTGCAATTATATGCAAGTAGCAGGTGGTGAGGTGAAAGCTGTAGAAAGCGTTTCTCCATCTTTTTGGATACATTTGCTCTACTTACCTCTCAACTAGTCGAGGCATTCTGAAAATCTGTTTATTCTTGTGTTTCATATACATTTTGGACAAACGAATGACATCTAAGGACTTCTTAGTACTTTTTATTTGATGATTATTAGATGATATTGTGAAAAACATTCTTTTGGATCACACACAAAATAATGCATACCCACTGACTCTTGCAATATGAATTCACAGGAAGTTTTGCCCCAAATGCCCTGGTTCGGGTGAGAGTGGGAAGAGTTCACCCTCCCTCTCGAAATGCTCTCACACGACCACACGTATACAGCCTCTTTCACGGAAGTCCTACTCACTGCCTTTTCGCACTATGGGTGTTGTTTACGAAATTGAGAGGACGAAAAGCGAATGTCCGGAGCTCTAACCGGGTTGGTGGATATGGAAGATCCACCTAGCGAAGTTGAAAAACCCTGATTCTAAACCAATGGTACATGGGCTGCAAAATTCTAAGGGAACAAATGACATGCGAACCTATTGTCGGTCACCGGCTATCGCGAGACTGCATCTCCTTACGTTGCTCCACTGCCTTATGGATTTATGTGTTCAAATATATAAATCATGTAACGTTCGTATATATATAAATCATGTAAATGGCGATGCAATTATCTTTTTGGGAAGAAAGTTCAGTATACGAAAGCGAGTGCATTCCTGATGATACAAGTCTGTGTAAGATGTACTGTTAATTGAGTCAGTGATAAAATGGAAGATTTACGAAAAAAAATTGAAATCGTAACGATGGTATGGCATAAAAACTAGCTAAGTGTGTCTCTAGATTTTTATTTGTTAACTTAGTATTAGTTGAAATCGGTAAAAGTAATCACAGGGTTTATTAGGCTCAGAAATTCATATTTTGTGCATTGACGCTCATTTAAAAGTTTTCCATGGCAAATTACTGTACAAAGTGGAAGGATGACAGCGCTGTAGTACCGTGCTTCGCTAATCGTTCACCTCGATAACCGTTATTATGCAAATTTTAACGGTGCATAAAATCAGAAGGCTAAGAAAAGCGGAAGCTACGGTTTATTATCAAATAACGCAAGTCAGAAAGCTATAAGCATATGAGCAAATATCATAATCACACTCATTGGACATGTTGGGTAAGCCAACTCGCTTTAATCAATATTTATAGTCAGAAAGAATAATTTACAGACATGCGACTAATACGATCAAAAGGGTACGCACACATACTCTAATATAAAAAAAATAAACAGGGTTAATAAGCGGATAATTAACAAGGTCAGACCATGACTCATGATGGATAGGTGAATTGGCTATTCCAGAAACTAGAATAAGCTATGTAGGTGTAACATAGTACACGACATAAACATATATTTAATACTCTAAAAGCTGGATTGGAAAGACAAAATCTCCGTTACGTTTTCGTATTTCGTGACAGTTTTTGCAAAATTCAAGGTGAAGAACTCTTCCGAGATCATTATTGATTATATACAGAAGTCCTCAGAAGCTTGCTTCAATTACGAGTTTGCGCCTAAATTAGTTTTTCTACATGGAACAATGAGCGAAATAGGTGTAAGTAATTACCAATCCTACAGAACAGTCAGCAGTAATTCAAGTTGAAAGCCAGCGAGTCCTGTAAGATTTTCTTTGCTCAGTGATCCGAAGTGTAACATGCAAAGAAAGATAAATAGAAATGGCAATGGATTTCACAAGCCGAGATTTCCCTTACGAATCAAGAGATGAAGTAAATAATTGTGGATGTCGATCCAAGATTGGTTAGCTCAATAAAGTCTAAATATGTTATTGAATATCTATGTGTTTTATATTTTTGTCAAATGTTTATCTTCAAATTACCATTTACTCTGCACATTTTCGTCTGGCTTCACAAAAATCAACACAATAACCGTAAGCATTTAGGTGCCGCAAACGTTTTTAAGCTGCCATTCGTGCATAAACTTTATTCCCACATCATATTAAGGAATTACGTGGACTCATGTTATTAGTTTTTTCCCCTGAAGATGCTCAATTTACTGGTGACACTGGGTCCCCTTGCTTTATAAATGCTTACAAAAGCATGCTAAACCGATGTCCATTAGTTAGCAGTCTGGTCTCAATCTCGGGGTTTGCAACTAATGGACTGCTTTTCATAAGACGGCTAATCATCCATCTAGGTGAAAATGTGCATTTCCACATCTGATGAAGGCGGTAATAAACCGCTAGTGAGATATCCTAGGTCGTGAATATATCGTTCGTAAGCACGTGAGTACTACGAATTACGAATAAGTTATTCAAAAAATGTTCACTTTGAGTAACGATGATGTCACCGATTCCCTGACTAGGCTGTAGAATCTCGGTCAATGTCGGTGTGAGTAAGCTTATCTTTGCTGCTAGATCAATAGACCTAATTTTAGAGGTCTGGATTTGTTATGACATGTCTACTCAAACATCTCTTTGTTCTCACTGATTCATGCTGTCGTGACAATCAAGAATACGAAATATAATGCTTCTGGGGAGCACGTTTAGACTGTGTGTAGAATAGCATATTTATTGTGAAAAGGAATATGTTACAGATTGCCCATACCCGCATGGCCGAACCATGCAGTTCTGATTCAGTGTTCCATCACTCCATGTTTCGACCCCATCTAGAGTGTTAGTTAGCGAATATCAATCTCATCAGTTATTATATGTTCAGCTTCAAAGGTCGTGCAGTTAGGAACATATGTCAGCACGTCACTCTCCCAATAAGACCAACGCAATGTTGATTCGTGATACGGTAGCTACCAAAGGATTTATAAAAATCCTCTAGATATTGATAACTTGAAAGACAAATAAAAAAGCTGTAGAAAGTGGTCGGGAAATAAAAGTGAGAATTTAGAAATGTATGGTTAAATTCCGAAAGGATCAGAATGTATACCTATTCAAGAATATTCGATAGTTAGACATGGTGGGACTATAATGATGATGAATGATTTTATGAAGAGATATTTTACCAAGTCACTCTAAAATGAATAGTAATAACCGGTGGTTAATAGTTTGACCCAATCGCTGTGCTTCCATTTTGGACTTAGAAATAAAAAATATTAATATTGTAGAAAAATTTGGTGTTAGCATTATCTTTGGTTCAAATTAAAAAGTCAGCAAACGTTTTTGCCTGTATCCTATTCGCATGCGATTATTTCTAATTCAAATACTTCAAATTACCACATTGGCGTCGTGATGGAGCCTGTGATGGAATGCTTCGATATACTTTCAGATTTTAATGCTTTTAAGGATTACATGGAGAGGTTCGAAATCTGGGCTAGGACCAAGAAACATGGTATTGTTTTAATTTTTCGGCTCGTTTCTTTACGTCCATCGGAAACGAAGAATACAGCTTTATAAAAACTTTGACGTTTCTAGACAAACCGATTTCACTTCCTTATGCAACTCTCAAGCAGCTACTGCTGGACCATGTAAAGTATTCAAATTTTGAATGCGGTAAAGGAGAAAAAATTCAAAAAATGATTCGCCAGGAGACCGGGAACTCAACTACTTCACTACGTCGTCGCAGTCCAATACGTAATCAAGGTTATTCAGATAAAATTAATTGACTGTGAAACACTTCCCCAAGATGCGCACAAGTTTGTTAAATGCTTGCTCTGTAGCAAGTTCCACCCATGCAGTTTTTTTGTAGTTCGTAACTCTGAATGCCTTAAATGTGGTAAAACTGGACACATTCAGTCAGTTTATAATGCCGTGGTTTATTTCACTGAAACTAATGCTAAAATTTGTGATTCTACGAAATTGGGTGTTCTTAATGATCACTTATCTTCATTCAAAACTTCGAGAAGCCGTGCAGAGTCACATAGCAGTTCAGAGTTGTGAGACAAATGTTTCTAATTGACCAACTTCTTATCAGATTTCTCATGTTATTGTGCCAGATGTGGTTTGTCATAATGATTCACATATTTCTGATGAAATTTCTTACAACTCTGAGAATAACATGTTGAATGAGTCAAATCATGATCAAAAACCGGATTGTTGATGCTGATTTTTCTAACGATACATTCTTCTCTAACAAAACTATTAATAAATTTGAAAATATTTCAAAAGCATCAGATCTTGATGTCATATGATATATTATTTAAACTGATAATGCATTTGCTTCTTGTGGGAAACTGGTTCAGTACGAAGCACGAGTATTAAGTGAGCTTGATTGTCATTACAATTCGGATAACTTCATATCAACTGTTGTTTATACTTTATATAAGAATTCTCGTCTAAATTAGAGCGAATAGTTTCACAGTATTTGAGCGCCGAGTTGATGCATGACATTAAATAGGAATAATATAGTTGTAAAATCTCAGCGAATGAATTTTTAATTAAATCCAACATTTCGCCTGGTAATCTGGTCCAAGCTTTTTCAAGAAATTATAGTTATACTTATTATGTTTATACTTATCATGAAGTCACTTTTAGTTAATAATGTAGTCAATATGTGAAATATCTTTTGAATGAAGCCACATTATTCATAACTTGCGGATATGAAGATCCAACATTATTTCGTGATAGAGGATAGTGTTGGAAAAACTATGGTTCAAATTCTAGGTATCAGCGGTTTCGTTGCACAACCGACATGTTGACTGTATACAGTTCCAGGACCCAGGTGAGTCAGTTCCAATTTCGATTGTTAATTCTAATACTTATAAGTGCATTCTAGATCAAATAGAGTCTATGTGCAGTACACTGTCGAACAGACGAACAGATGAACTCAAAAAGATGTACAATCAATTACAGACTATTAAACTTCAATTTAAGCTGTAGCAGGTGTTGTGTTTATATGAACCAGTGATTTCTTTGTCTTGATGACCGTTTTGATTTTGAATTCGTGCTCATCTAATACTTCTTTATGAAATTGCGTCATTGCTGGAATTACTAGTTCATACTATAATTCAAATTATCTCAATAGGATTATCTACGGAAAATAATCAATTGCGATACTGCCAAAAGTGTTTGACGCAGTATTACTATCGTTTAAATGGGCTGAAAATGCCGAAAGTTATAAAAGGAATAAACAAGCAAACTCAAGTAGCGAGAGTCCTAGGTGGTAGATCATCAACGACGATTATCTCTGTCGAATGATTGGGAGACTAGTCAAGTTATACGTGAATAGTGTGACGAACCAGCTAACTTCACAGCCACACTTCGCAGTCAGCATACAATGTGGATTACACCTTCACTATATCAAAGTGCTATGGTTGGCTTAATGTTTGTACAACACAAAGGACGTGATTATATAAATACACCAGTAAGAATGAGTACAGAGAAGATAGAGAGTCCATCATCGCATGCGTCAGTCCATGGTATACGAAACGCGTTTGTTGTCCTTGACTTTGACAGAGATCAAAGATCTGTTCGATATTCAGTGACTCCAATGCCAGACGATTTGGCTAAGTCACAGTGACACTTCACTGCGACTATAATTTCCACCACTAAAAAATGCAGTGGAGATTTTCTTTAGCTGAACGTCAGACAAAATACATTAAAGTGTCTTCCGGAAATTTCTGATATATTCAGACCTGGAAGAGTCACACATACAACTATATTAGGCTAACCTAAATCATTCTATCATCCTGAGGTCATCCAAATATGAAGCGCCAACCCTATGGTAGCTTAAATGATATGCTTTATTTTCCGTTCTTCTAGGCGTATAAATGCAGATACAACACAGCCCATTTCGTAAAATCTCTCATCATAGTGAAAAACCTATTTAATTTTATTTGAAAGTACTGAGAATGTGACCTTTTCGTGAAAACGTCTTCGTAAGTAGAACTGTAGTTTGTTACGTTTTAATTCGTGATAGATAATTAGCATATTGCTCACTGTAGTTACAGATTAAATATAAAATTTCTTCACAATTGAAATCGAAACTTCCTACAATTTTAATGCAAATTCTGACAAGTATTGATGATACTTTTTGCATTGCAAAATTTCCCTGGTAAGAAACTGCGGAAAATATGGTTAGGTTGCTACGATTGGTGTTTTTCAATCATGTGACGAGTTGCAGGTTACTGTTCTGTGTGTCTGTCTTAATGGTTCAAGAAAGGGCCTATATTGTCTCCATGAAGACAAGTATAAGTCATGATAATGACTGCAGTTTTTATCCTGACCACAATTGTGGCTTAACTTTTAATCACAACTGTATTAGTGATTTGTTCTTCAAGCTGTCTTAATACCCCTTGGGTATTGCAATAACAACATGCTTCTGCTGAGTGATAATATACATAAAACTAGTCTTTAGTCACAATCTACAATCTCCGAATAGTCGGTTCCTGAAATGTTTTACTAATTGAGGTGATTGCCCCAATTATTAGTTGACTAAGTTAACCCATACGAATCATACAGGTCGTAAACTCTCGTAATGAAGTCCTACTTAACATCCAGTATGGATAATTACTGGCTTTTTTGTCTGGTGCATGGCTTGAATATGATTTATACAAAGAAACCTCTAGTGTATTATGTAAATTAAATTATTTATCTAAGCATTAATGCAATAGGGCTCCATTATGTTTATATGCAATAAACTAAATCACAGAATATGTACGTGGGTTAGGATACTCCTCGAGTGTCCAAATTGGAAGAGGTGACATCGTAAGGGAGTCGTTCTTCGAGCGTTCGGCGCATAGCACTAACCCACAAGGCAGTGAAGCGACTTTTAAAAACGCAGTACCCCGGTAGTCGTTTACTAAATATAAGTTCGTACCTCATTTATTCCCTCAGGATCCGGAAGCTCATGTGCACCACTGGTTTTAAGTCAAGATTTTCCTACGCTCATGGATGAGTCCTCCGTACCCACCGACCCGCTTAGAGCACCTGACAGACTTTTTGTCCTCAACTTCGTAAGTATCACTCCGGCTGAGAGAAAGCAGTAATACTTTCCTGAATGACAGTAAACGTATGGCTATGTGAGAGCATTTCGAAAGGAAGAGTGGACTCTCCAAACCCTCAGCTGTACCAGAACATTTAGGGGCCGAATTGTATGTGTTTGGTCAGTTATAATCTCATTGATATAAAAGGTTCTTATGGTTTAGCAGTTGGGAGTCTTTAGTTGCTTGATGTACATCAAATCCACGTTTCTGGTCAGTCTTGACAAATTTATTTGCAGCCATATATATATAGTTATTTACATTCCCTAACTTTTTGATTGTATTCGTACATGCCTTCCATTTTTTTATTCTAGATCTTTATATGTACAATTTGAAGTATCGCGTTATCTGCTACCCAAGAAAAAGCCATTACGTTCAGCTAACAGTTCGGTGATCAACAGTATGGGAAATATATGTAATTTTCTCTGTCCTAAAAGTGTTAGCAGGTGTTTATCAACCTCTGAATTAGATGCTACAATTCATGATTCAGACGTAAGACTTTTATGTGCAAATGAAGCCGTACCTGTACCAGTGGAAAACAGTGATGAACATGTAACGGCTGTTGTACATAAAGAATTAGTTTCAAAGCATCAAGAAAAATCAAATAATAGTACTCATGATCAGCTGAAGTCTATATCTTATTCTCTGCAAGGTCCGAAAGTAATAAAGGAGTATGTAAAATTTCCTTTTCTTACGGATAACGAGATCGGAAATTGGATTATAAAATCTCGTTTCATGTTTATATTACGTGGACCTCCTGGTTCGGGGAAATCTTTTTTGTCTGAGTGCATCCGAATACGTTTTCCTATGGCTAAGGTGGGTATGCTTTCATCGAAAGTATTTGTTCTACTGATTGTTATTAATGATACTTATTTATGCTAGGTTCTGTATTGTTTTAACTGATTATGTTCCTTTGGTAGGTAGCTTTATTTTTTAAAATTTAAACACATACATATTGGTACAAAGGGACACCAGATACATATACGCCACAGGTAGGTAGCTCTATGTTCAGGCAGTGTCATAAGACGCCAACCAGACTAAACAAATCAAATGTACACCTCATCAATATACCAAAGAAGGAAGATCTGAGCAAATGTGAAAACTACAGAGGCATCACACCACTGTCAGTACCAGGAAAAGTTTTCAACAGGGTGTTGCTCAACCGGATAGAAGACGCAGTAGACACCCAACTTCGAGGTCATCAATCTGGATTCCGTAGGGATCGGTCGTTCACAAATCAAATTGCGACACTACGGATCATCGTCGAAAAATCAGTTGAGTGGAACTCGTCACTATACATCAACTTCATTGACAATGAGAAGGCGTTTGACAGTGTGAGCAGGAGGAGATTATAGTAACTTCTTCGACACTATGAAGTTCTTGCAAAGGTTGTCATCATTATCCAGGACTCATACGACGGACTACAGTGCAAAGTCATACATGGCGGACAGCTGACAGATGCATTTCCAGTTAGGACTGAAGACAGACAAGGCTGCCTAATCTTCCCCTTCCTCTTTCTTCTGGTGGTTGACTGGATTATGAAGACCTCGACATCTGACGAAAATCACGGACTACAATGGACAGGCTGGATACGACTCAACAACTTGAACTCCACAGATGACCTGACCCGTTTATCTCATACATATGAACAAAAACAGATTAGGACAACTTATGTAGCAGCAGCCTCTGCGTCAACAGGCCTCAACATACACAAAGGAAAAGCAATATTCTTAAATACAACACGGCGAACACTAACCCAATCACACTTGATGGCGAAATCCTGGAAGATGTGAAATCTTTCACGTAACTGAGGAGTATCATCAATGAACAAGGGGGATCGGATGCAGACGTGGAGGCGAGGATTGGAAAAGCAAGGATCGCCTTCCTACAATTGAAGAACATATGGAACTCAAAACAACTTTCAACCAATATCAAAGTCACAATCTTCAATACGAACGTCAAGGCAGTCCTACTGTATGGAGCTGAAATGTGGAGAACTACTACAACCATCATCAAAATGATATAAGTATTTATAAATAGTTATCTACGCGAGATACTCAACACCCATTGGCCGAATACCATCAGCAACAGCCTTCTGTGGGAGAGGACAAACCAGCTTCCAGCTGAAGAGCAAATTAGGAAAAGACGTTGGAAGTGGATAGAACACACATTAAGGAAATCACCAAACTGCATCACGAGGTAATCCCTAACTTGGAATCCGGAAGGGAAGCGGAAAAGGGGAAGGCCAAAGAACACATTACGCCGAAAAATAGAGGCAGATATGAAAAGAATGAATAACAACTGGAAAGGATTGCCCAGGACAGTGTTGGATGAAGAATGCTGGTGGGCAGCCCATGCTCCCCAGCGAGGGTTAACAGGAGTAAGTAAGTATGTAAGCAAGTAAATAATGAAGTTGGATGGAAGTAAAAATTACTGTAAGAAAAACGTTATTATACTTGTAGTTTTACACGGGAGGATTTTCGAGTCCTCTCCAATTATCCTCTAGTGTTGATTAGCTAAGAGCTAGCTAGTCAGCGTACTCCAACACAATTCTGCATGAAATATGCTGTAATCCAATCTATAATTTGCCAACAAAGTCCTTGTCCTATTTTTTGTCAAACCACTCATAATTCAGTCACTCTCTTTTATCCTTAATGGTCAAAAATTCATATCTGCATCAATGTAATCAGTAATGGATACTGGTTTAGACTCTTGGTGTCTTCAGCTGATACACGAATGAGATGGGATGGACTTTTATTAGAGTGCACCTTTTTACAGGTCTGGTCGAGACAGTCTGCTTTGTGATAATTTTTCCACCAATATCATTTAGTTTTGGATATCTTGGTGCTCAAGACAATAAAAATGGAAGTTTTCACATGGAAAAATCTCGAAAGACCATGGTATTCTTAATCCAACTAATTAGCTTTTAAGGTTGGTAGTTATGACCAATGAATCCGGAATTCTGTACATGAAGTTTCTTATTTGTCTCTGTAAAATATGACAACGTACATTATTATCATTGGGTCCAAATACATGTATGCAAATTGATGCCCAGTTTATGTCTACATCTTATTTATAGATTTTTTCTGCGGATGATTTCTGGTATTTAGAATCGAACGGGTGTGAGTATCAATTTGACATCAGTCGATTGAGTGAAGCTCACGAATGGTGCCATAATAATGTGTATAATGCTGTTTGTTCTGGATACAGCCCAATAGTTATTGACAACACAAATACGAGAAGTTGGGAAGCACGTTATTATACAGAAATGGCTCGTCGTTTTCACTACTTTGTAATCATGGTCATTCCACAAACACCATGGCGATTTGATGCGGAAACTTTAGCTATGCGTAATGTACATTTTGTCAGTTTGGAGACCATTGAAGCGAAAGTCCGGAATTTCGAACATATCTATCCATGTTATTATGGTTGGTTTTGGTCAGCACCGCCGAGCGAAACATATTCAAAACTTGACATCTCGGATAATTCACTAGATATAGTTAGTAGACCAGCTAAAAGGTGTAAAAGCTCTATTCACTCAAACCCATGTATGGAAGTGAATCGGTTGCTTAAATGGGGATGGGATGTTCTCAATACTATTATAGAATTACCCGGAGTACATTATGAACTAATAAATGCTTTTGGTCTACCACAAGGTTAGTTCTGTTTTTGTTGTCACTGTTAAAGTGTTTCATCATGGTTTCCGTTAAAGGTACTCCTTTTTATCAGACTTCATAATTCTTGTATATGTTATATTTGATGCACATTTAACGAAGAATGCTTCGCATCGCTTACTTTATTTTACAAGTTTCATTCTTTTATTGTTTATCTACCGGGAGATTCACATGTTGGCTTAGACTACGCAGATAGTGTAGTTCCATTTAGCGAAGAAGCTGGAAAAATGCAGTTTTCCGATCGCGTTAAGCAACAATAAAAACATGTTTAAGATGAGGTTCTAGCCTTCCAAATGCGAATGATTTTTTCAAGATTGTTCTACTTTATTCCCTGATATAATGACAGTAATGTAGTTGAGTGCGTCTACTACTTTCACTTATCTTAGCTGTCTCAATAGTTCTGATTTGCTTTTGTCTGGGGAAATTTTGGCACGGATTCAGAATGCTTGACTGATGTTTGCCAACTTGTGTCACTTGTAGCGTAGGCGAGAAATCCGTGTACTAACCAAACAACTGGTTTGCTTAGCATTTATTTGCTCTGTTTTGATTTATGGATACGAAACAGTTATTAAAAATAGAGGGTATTCATTGGTTGCTAGTATTCGGGCACAGATGTCTTCGAAGCATTTCTCATCATTCTTGCGACCACCGGGTTAGGAGTTCTGAAACTAAACACGAAGTACTAGATGAATATGACGCATCGGTTGACGAGGCTTTGAATATTTATCGCCTGAAATAGTTAGGACATGTATTACGTATGCCCATCTACTGACTACCTTGAAGTGCGATGATGGCTAATGTAAGAGTGGGTTGGAAGAAAGCTAGGTGCAGTTTTGCTCCATGCTTGTGAAACCTGGCCTCTCCGAGTTGAGGATGTCAGACGACTTTCTGTGTTTGATCATCGTTGTCTCCGAAGGATTGCTGACATCCAGTGGCAACACCATGTTAGTAATGCTGAGGTTCGGCATTGTGTGTTCGAGTGAAGAGACGATAATCCAATTGGTGTCACCATCTTGAAACATCGACTTCGGTGGCTCGGACATGTTCTACGAATGTCATCCCCGAGAATTCCTCGTCGTGCATTATTTGCCGACTCTGGGACTAGTTGGAAAAAGCGGAGAGGAGGTCATTGTATGACATGGTGTCGTGGCATGAAAGAAATCTGCAAAGGGCTAGCTTCTGTTGATCCTTCACGACTTCCTGGCTGGGGTCCGAGAGATGGTGCAACACAGTGGCTAGAGACGTTATCAGATATGGCTCAGAATAGAAGCCAGTGGCGATCCTGCTGCAACCTTCTTTTACTTTCTACATAAAGAGTGGTTCTAACTTTTTTAACTGATAGAGTCTTCTGGTTGTACGTTTCAGTCCGCCTTATCTTTTCATCCTTTCTCTTCCTACTTTCATTATTTTGTGTGGCACATATGTATCTGGTGCCCTTTTGTACCAATATATATGTGTTTAAATAAATAAATAGGGGCAGTTAAACCAGGTATGACATCGGTTCATAAAGTCATCGACAGTTGGACTGAGCCATGTTAATTGATGTACAATACCTGGCTGGGGTTTGCGTGACTATCGTAACTAATCGTTAGAGGCTTTGTGTGATATTGTTCAAAATAGTACGCTATCGGACATGTGCATTTACTTCTGTCTTCCGTTGGAAACTTGGCTGTGAAATATCCTAATTCTTTTTTTCTTGCCTAATCTTTTCCACTGCTACTACTAATGCTTTTATAACTTCGACTACTCTGGAGTTTGTCTTGAAGTAATTTTATCATGTTTTGCTAATAGTACGTAGTTACTTCAACCGATACATGTTTGTCAGGTTCTACGTTGTGAAGAATTGACTAATACAAATTAAACGGACATACCACAATTGTATTAGTGCTTTCATTTTACTAATTAACTGTATTCATTATTCGTCTTGATATGTAATAGGGGTTAGTTGTTCAGTTATTCATCCTCAAAACTACTTAGCTTAACTACATCATTCTCCTATTTGTTTTTGGGTCGTTTATAATTCAGAAGAAACACTAAGGGTTAAAGAAATATCTCATGCAATTAGGCATTAGTTGACAGTATTTTGTTGTGAAGAAATTTTAGCTAGGGTACTTCTCTCAAGAAATTTGTTTTGACGATGAATCATCGTAATCCCTTTGCACGTTTAATTGTACCCCAAGATTGTTTATTGTGTTTTAGCACTATGTAATTTTCTATAGTTTTCATGTGATGATTTTGAACTTGTGTTAACAGTAATCAGAGTATTTCAAAAGTTGAATTATTGCACATTTATTATTATTTTTATTAGATGCAACTGTACAAGATGTAATAAGTCATTGGGAATCTGCTACAATACCTGACTTCGGGACAGGTTTAAAAACTTGCAACACACCCAGTATCCCTCACATAACAGCTAAATTTTCTAAATATGGACGAGCTACCGGCGCAGAACATTATGCTCTACGTAGATCTGTAAATGAAAATTTACTGGGAAAATTATTCACAGTACAAATTACCGGTTTAGTGATCACTTCACGTACAATAGGTGCTAGGGTTAAACTTCCAAATGATGAAGTCATTCGACATCTCTGGGCTGCCGAAGATCAAGAAGTTGTATTCCCAGGTACATAAATTAATTTCTCTTATTTTTATCTTATTTCGTGAACTGTTTGAATACTCTGTATGTTGAGAATTTATAAATTTCTAACAACAGTAACGGCGTTGTAAATCATCTACAATAATTTGAACGCTGTTTTTTTTAATGGTGTTAAACTTTAACAGGCGATGATATAGTCGCCCAGCTGAAGTTTTTTCCAGTCAAATTTTTCACGAAGTTCTCAGTGTTCTTTTTATATTGTTTCTTCAGCCAAAGTTCTCATATATTGAGCTTCTAATGTTTTTCGTGTTTTTGGCTGACTTTCCCTGTCAAAATAATGTTTATTTTTCTTGCAAACTTAAAACAGTACAACAACATTCACAACACCCTCTGAAGTTACTCACCATCATGCTGATGACTTAAACGGGATTTTCCAAAGAGCCATGTAATATTGATCTTAATGGGTTATTGAATTTTGAATACTTCGGAAACCCATAGGAATATTGAAGTCCAGATCTAAAAGTCTTTAGATCATAGAAATCCTCTTTAGCTATAACATTTACATGTATATGTATTGTTACCAATTTTCGACTTGATAATGCAAATAAATTAACTATTGGGTAGATTGTTAATAATTAAACTAATGATATATTTGTAGGTATCATTACCAAGTCTTGATTTGATAATTTTGAATAAATTGAGCATTGGGTAGATTGTTTTAAATAAATTATATATTTGTAATATCCCAATGAATATAAAGTAAAGTTTCTAACGTTTCGTGACTTTATGTAAGCTACTTTTTCAAAGTCGTAAAACGTCGAGATATCACATATATATCATTATTTAAATTATATTTATGACATTCACAAGGCTGGAGATTATTTTCCAGTTTCACTATCTAATGAGACGTCGGCTTTAAATTTACGTTCATAACATCCATGCTTTAATCTTTACCAGGTCTAAGGATAATAACGTTTTGTCCTCTATAATTTTTTCAAAACGTTTAACTCTTTAAAATCTAGGATGTCTCTTTTCCTTGGTTAAGAACTGTGAAATTAGTGGTCAGTTGAAACTTATTCCAACCTCACCGAATTCTATGTATCTGTCATGGTTGTAACATACTGAATCATTTTTTTATAGAAATTCTCAAATTACGGATGGAAGAATGAATCGGGACTTTGGGCATAAGGGGATATAGAAGTTTAAGTTCAAACTAAAAATTCTTCCTTAAGAACAGAATTCCATTGGTGAGAAATTTATCACCTACTTGTCTTCATAACGAGAACAAGTTCATGGCGGATGTTTTTCTTGATGTTGGAAAACTGTTAAAGTATTCTCTAGTTTTGTGGAATAATCAAGGTGACTATGGGGTTGATGAGGTAGTAAATCTTCACTGAGTTGTGTGGGACATCTCTTGCGTATGCATAGCCACCGTCTATCGCGATGCGCCATACCACTTGATGTAGAAGCAGGTTGGAAGGAAGCTAGTAGGAGCCAGAACGAAACATGGGCTCAATCTATGAAGACTTTGACAGTTCAGCTAAGGTATAGTAATAAGTGCGGATTACCTGGTTGTGATCCATTTGACTGCCATAACCGGTTGTTTTAGGTATTGTATAACATCGCTCAAAACCGGTCACAGTAATATAGATACCTTCACCATATCTTTCCCGCTAAGCCGCTAGCCCCGAAATTATCCTTTTTATCCCACAGATTCATTCTCACCTTCCGAATTTTATTGTATATCCCTATGTTTCTCTACTATCCTCTGATGCTTTCACTACTTATACTTTGATGCTTATATTGATAATTTCACCTCGCTGTGTTGATATATGACAAACTGAACCAATGCACCTAAGCATTTTATGGATAAATTGAAAATCCATAAATCTGATTACCCACCTATTTATGTATCATCGGTAAACCGAACGTGTACAGATCGGCAAAGCGATTAATGAAATAGCTAAACACAATACACAGAGAGTTGATAAGTGTTTTTAATCTGATTACCACTACAAATATATTCACTTTAGACTTATAACTGGTTATATCGAGTTTTGTAAAGTTGCACTAATATGGGCTAGACCAACCAGATATTATTTAATATTTGATAACCGCAGATGTACTTAGCACAACCTTAATACTAGCTAATTTAATCAGTAGTAGATTTTTATTTGTACAACATAAGTTCTGTCTTTTTTCCTATATACTCCGACGTATGGCTAATGTTGATCATTATAGTCTGTATTGTTTTCTTCTGTTATATTACTGTTAAAACTTCTTCATTTTTGTACTTCTTTCCTGTTAGATAATATTGGTATAATGCCTGTTAATCGTCCAACTGGCTGTCGTGCTCATGTTACAATGGCTTTAGCAACTGGTGTATCACCAGCGGAAACAGGTCTTGATTTACTACGTGTTGTAGACATGGAGTTGAACAATCGCCCTGGTGATCATGTAGCAATTATTAAAAATGGTTCCGTTCGTCGACTTATCATTCCAAAAGTACATTGTAATACTTCACCTGAACGTCATTTAGTCCAGGTACCAAATAAATCAAATTATCATCCACGTAATAATAATAACTTTTACGTTAATAGCATATCATCAGTTCCACCCTCAGATTATGAAACTATTTATGTGTACGATCTTGATTTTCCTCAACACTACCGTGTTACTTTTGCTGCTTCATATTGAGTTATCTTTTCATTACGTCATGATTAGTTATCAATATCTTCTTGCCTATCTGCCTTTCTTTAAATTGGTCCAACTTTTTATCGTTCTACTTCAAGCTATCGCTGACCATATATATAACCATCTTCTTACCTTTATACATACACATACGCATAATACCTTACATTATTTCTGTTTCCATCCCTTCAATTTTTAGATTTGTTAATTTCATTGAATTTGCATGTTTCGTCTTTGTTACTTTGTACATGGATAAATCAAAATTTGCAGCAAACATGTTGTCTAGTCTTGTTTCTGTACCGGATTATACTGTTTATACTCATTTTTGAAATGTATTCATAATATTGTAACTATGACAGTTTTTAATCTGCGAGTATTATTTAGTAGTTGGTTATGTACTTGTCATCTTATAACCGGTCTAAATTGTTATACGAATGATTAATTTCTTGTAACTTTAATTTTTCACACTGCATTATTTGTGAACTTCTATACACTCATAAATGAAAACTATCATATATATTAGGGTTCATTGTTTAATGATGAATTTACTATCGTGAGTTCATTTTCTTTTCCACCATGACATGTGCTATCTAAGCGTATAAGATACAATACCCTATGTTAAATATATATATTCTCCCGAGTTATTTGTTAATTTTCTCGTAGTAATTCAGTTTTGCATTGATTATTAAATAACAGGGTCCTAATTATCCGAAGAGATTGCTTGAAAGGATATGGAAAATTATCGTAATCAATAATACGGTGCAAGCTGTCATGAATAGAACTTGAATTTTTCCATATATTGTTTTATTATGGTTAGTCATTCATATTTAAAGCGCTGTCTATATAAACGACCAGAAAAACTTTTCGAAATTGTCGGATAATATTTAGAACGAAACGATCGTTGTACTGTTCTGTGGCTGAAATACTAGGGGTTCTCATGTGAATTCGAAAAAAGAATGTTTATAGTGAACTAAACGAATTCCCGTATTGTTTATAGCGATTGACACATAGAAAAAGCTACTGGTGACTGGCTTCGAGAATTCCAATAGAAAATTGCGACAAATAGAATCAACCGAATCAAGAGTTGAGCAGTAATTTAACGATGAAGTTTGACTAAGGATCATCCTTATCACAAGTAGACTTAACCCTGTGTACTCATTTCTGAAGATTCTTAACCAATTGTGTTAGCGGGATGTAGATTGGATTAAAGCGCGTTCCGTGAAGGACTACGTTGGGGCACACTGACTGGCTATTTCTTATCCAATCAGCGCTAGTGGATACTTTGAAAAGACTATAGAATCTCATGTAAAAACTATAAATATACTAACGTTCTTACCATGATTCCTACTTTCATCCAACCTTTTTATTTGGAACATAACTATGTTCCTGTTTAACCGTGTTCCGATTTGGGGACTTGTCGAGTGAACTGGTGTCCAAGATTACTAAGCAATAAGAGTAGCTGGGTCGTAGTAAGTGAAATTATAACGAAGTGCAAAACCTGTTTCGGATGCTCTGCAGTGTTCGATAATTCTTCAGCTAACATCAGTTCATGATGAAAACCATCTTCAAGTTGTACAAACCTATCCACAAGGCTAATAAATCCAGGTTAATCAACAGTTACCGGAGCATGGTAAGCAGAAATGGATAGTGGCTAGCAGTGGAATCCAGTTTGGCGCGCGTTTCGTCCTATTTGGGACTCGTCATCTGGATGTACCTGCATCTCAGAATTGATGTTCACTCTGGGACTGTGCAGCCACTATCCATCTCTGCTTACCATGCTTGTGAATTAAGGTATATCGAGGCAATACGCACAGTATGCACATATGCCAATTAGAGACTGACCAGTTGCAGTCCTAACACATCGATGGGAAGATTCAAACAAACAATACTAAGTGAAGTTACTGGAGCGTTTCCAAGTACAGTCAAACTAACAACTCCAAGATTTACCTGTAGAGAATTTCTTTTGTTTATCGAAAAGCTGTGTATAATGCACATTAAATTAATCATATCAGAATATACTTTAGTGCTTATCATTAATTAAGAAGAAAATATTACACGTTTATGCGGTTAGTATGATGAAGAGTCTACTTCCAATAAATACTGACAAATATTAATTCTTCGAATTCGGCAACAAATTGTTATTACCCTAACCATATTATCTCGTACATCTGTTTCAAACAGCTGGGATATAATCTTTTAAACGTGATTATTTGTGTTGGACTTAAAAACCATTGTTTTATTCTGAAATCTAATCAAATATTTATTTTTAAACAGATAGACACATTTATTTTATACATCAGTACATCTTAACCGAAAGTACCTAATTGTAATCAACTTTATGACCTTTACATTTTCGGTCACCTGAAACTGTCTAACAAACTTTGGATCTGTCGGGAATCTGATAGTATCAAACATCACGTTTAATAGGTTATATCCTAGCTGTTCGAAACAGATGTACGAGATAATATGGTTAGGGTAATAACAATTTGTTACCGAATTCGAAGAATTAATATTTTCTAGTATTTATTGGAAGTAAACTCTTCATCATACTTGTAGGAAAATACGCTTTTGATTAGTCATAAGGAAAAGGAACAGAGAGTAAGGCGGACATAATTCACACTGTTAAAAATGTTATTCGCTTTTTTACTGATCAACTTTATTAATATGCGCCTTTTTCATGGTCGCCCTTATTAGCATGCGCTCTTTTGAATGGATAAACTCCAGTTTCTAAAATTATTTTCGTATGGAAACAATCTTAGAAAATGAAGTGCTATTGAGAAAGGAGCGTCAACTCTTTGGTAGTTATCTGAATGGAATCATCTCCCATGATTCTTATCAGTACAAAAATTTTTCTATATCTTTTGGAATACATGGGAGACATTTTTCCACGTCTGTATATAATTTAAAACTAATTCAAGTCCAACTGGTCCTTTTTGTATTATTAATTTCAAACTACCATTAAATATAGAACCATGCTAAGTAATATTTCACTGGGATGCGTCATTATCATACAACATTCAGATTCGTTTAGAGACCTTTAAGTTAGGTAACGAGACGTCACTATGGACCTTAATTCCTTAGAATGAATGACAATTCCTAAATATTTTATAAAATGACGTAAATTTTCAGTATAATCAGAATATGGTCTTATCTTATACCAGTGTACACAAGCGAAAAAATGTCCGTTAATAAAGATAACTATATTGTAAGTAAGTGACATATTTACATTCCGAGAAATAAAAAAATGTACGAAAAAAACAAATTAATTTACTTGAAAGAGGAAATGAAATAATATATTGGAGCGAATCGCGCTGAGTTTTCTAACCTACATATGTAAATGAAACAAACTTTTTAAAAGAAGAAATAAGAAGCTATTTCGATACAAAATTTAATCAATGTCTGACAAGAGAAGTACTTTCGACGGCACCATACAATGAATTTCATTATCACAATTATGAACATCACCATTAGATTTAACTCTTTTATTACCAGACTTTAAGATATTTTGTTCACTAAATGTTGTAGATAACTGGTTGCAGTGGCTAGGTGAAGACGAAGTGCAAACAGCCGATGAAGGTGAGGACGACGATGTTGACTCTAATATATCAGAACAGTTGACTGAATTTGTCCCACAAATAGCTTCTAACTGTTTTATTCTGAAAAGTAGAATCAACAAATAATAAGAGTAATAACAAAAACGAAAACTTTCGTTTGAAATCAACGAACTGTTTCGTTCAAGTGACATAAAGACGGTACAGAAAAACAAATGTAACTTTTGTGAATGACACAAGTGTAAACACAAACAAAACTAGTTTTGAATGTGTAAGAACCATCAATAGGGGGTCAATTATTTGAGTTACCTATCACGACTTGAAAGCACCTCCAGTCTCTGGCAAGATCCAACACTATAGCATATCATATAGCACCACACCTAATTGTTGAGAATATTACTTTGAGAAAACCTACCACTATTTATACAATTTGAATATTTATTACATATAGATTGTCTTGATAGACAAAAAGCAACAAATTCTGCATACTATGATCCACCTCTCCCAAAAATTAATCCAGGGAGAGAATACAAAACTTTCTATTCCATATTTGTTAGATTCGAAAAGCCCCCGACCGAGAGTGGGGAGAGTCAGCTCTACCTCCCAAAATGCTCTCACATGACCACGTACATACAACCACTGCCAGAGAAGTGCTACTCACTGCCTTCTTGCGGCGAGGGTGTTGTTTACGAAATCCAGAGAACGAAAAGTCAATGTCCGTTGCTTTAACCGGGTTGGGGGATATGGAGGATCCACGTAGGGGAGTTGGAAAACCCTAATTCCAAACCAATGGTACACATGGGCTCCAATATCCTGAGGGAGCAAACGGCGTATGAACCTATTGTTGGCCACCAGCTATCGTGCAACTGCATCTCCTTAAGTTGCTCCACTACCTTTTGGATTAGACCCGTAGGTCAAATGCTCATGGAATGGCCTCCTAATAAAATCATCTGCTTCGGTTTGAGTGACCTGAAAGTATTCTAGCCCTCACACAAATCGAGTGAAATGTGTGGTGCATATATATTTGGCGACCTCTTGTAAAAATGTTTGTGTTTTATATTCGAAGAGCGAGACAAATGTATAGTCATTGTCAATCCGTTATATGCAGTGTGAAACTTGGCATTATACATGCACTAGCTCCATTTATCAGACCATATCAGCACAGTGAGGTGAAATTACCAAAACAAATCTCGTATCATTGAAAACATTAAGAGTATCAATATTAGTAGTGGTAGAAAATATTATGCTTCAGGAAGCAAAAATGAATTCACGGAATAAAGAAAAATACAAGACAATTTTGGACTTTAGATGTAAGTAAAGACAAATAGTAAATGCATATACATCTTGGTAACTGATTCTGAGCCATGTCACTTAACACCTCCATTAATTGGTTATGGCAGTCGCATGGATCACAATCAAGTAATCTTCACCTACTAATACGACTGTCCAACGGTCGATGATTATTGTGAATAATATTTATGCCATTTCTGAAACTTTGGTAATGAATTAGCGAACTACAATATGGACAAACGGATAAGAAGTCACTGAAGTTAAAAGAGAAAATGGACACCGTCATTTGGCTATTCATGAAAAAAAATGTTGAATTTAACTTTGGACAAAAAAAGAGTAACCAACACTTTTGGGAATTTAAACATTTTTAATGGTTGTATGATATTTCATAGTGTCGTAAAATTAATATCAACTGTGAAATTTAATGAACGGCTCAAATCGCCATTCTCAGTATGTTTCTAGTACATGTTAACAGAAATGGAGTCTACAATTAAACGCTTTGATAAGCAATGCCATACATCGAATATAGAATACTCCAACAGCAGCTACTAACTTGACGTGGTAATTAGGCTTGTCAATCGGGATGATTTAATAGAGTTATATTGGCTGGAACAAGTTTTTCATTAGGTCCTACCATGCCGGGCAGATAGAAACACAGGCTTCACTAGCTAGTACTCTAAAATCACGCGCCACTGATGAATGCTGCATCTCCAAAGCGCGCATGCAGGACCTAAGTACGGTCAGTTATTTAACCTTACCTTCTTAATAAAAGAACCAGAATGATTTACCCTACCAGTATCGGGAGACAACAATGTTACTTTCCATGGCCTTGTTGGTGTACAGATAACACTTCGTGAAAAATCAGAACAAAATCAATCACTGATTGTCCCAGTAAATAAAAAACATTAAAATCATCCTGTGATAACGATGGAGGGATTAGTTTGACTAATATAGCATATAAAATACTAGCCTCAATAATTATCGGGCACCAAACAAAGACTCGTGAACTCCAAACACCAGAAAATCAAACTGGCTTCACACCTGGTCGCGGCTACATTGACCACATGTTCACCACTTGTCAGGTTTCATAACACATGCATGCTTATCGGCGTCCAACAATGATGGTTTTCCTTGAATTAAAAGCAGCGTTTGACTATAGAGACCGAGAGGTTCTGTGTCAGCGTCTGTCATTGAATGGTGTACCTCAGAAGTACGTAAACCTTGTGAAGGCTATCTACTCAGACACTACCCCTCGAGTCGAAGCTTATGGCGAACTGTCATCTGATTTTGCAACCTCAAGTGGTGTCCGACAGGGATATGCATTATCTCCATTTTCGTTCATTCTCATCATAGACCTACTGCTGGAAATAACGCTCTCGTAGACTGAATTTTCAGGAATTGATCTTCCACCAGGAGGTTCACTTATCTACTTAGAATACACAGATGATATAGACCTGTTTGGTGAAGACGCTGATAAAATACAGTCTTTTGGCAGCATTGAGCAACAGAGCCAGGATGTTTAGCATGCGTTCCTCTCCCTCGAAATGCAAATTCTTGCTTCAGAACTGGCCTGTGTCAGCACCTGAACTGAGGAAAGGAAGTAAAGTAGTCGAAAGAGTCGATAACTTCACCTATTTTGGAAGTCTGATCAGACACTAATGGGTTAGTGTCTGACGAAATCTCTGCACGGATTCAGAAAGCTCATTTGGCTCTTGCCAACTTACGTCACCTATACCTATGGTGAAGAGATATCAGTCTGTCAATTAAAGGACGAGTATACTTAGAAGTAGTTCGTTCTGTTCTACTTTACGGCTGAGAAACGTGACCATTAAGAGTAGAAACTACTTGTATTTGACCATAGATGTCTTAGAAATATTGCTCGCATCTGCTGGGATCACCGGGTAAGTAAAAGTGAGTTTAGATGCAGGGTATTAAGGAGTGTTGGTAAATCAGTTGATGAGGTTGTAAATCTTCATCGAATGAGATGGTTGGGTCACGTGTTACATATTCCCGAACACTGATTACCACGACACGCAATGCTGACCAGTGTTGGAGATGGTTGGAAGAAAGTTAGGGGCGGTCAAACCAAGACGTGACATCAGTGCTTGAAGTCACTAACTAATTTTATTTCTCTGTGCTAATGAGATATGCTAATTTAAACCGATGTACCTACGTTCCAGTTTCTACGTTGTGACTGACTGAGTGAATATAAAATACGGTTCATTAGTGACTTTTACTAAACTAAAAAAGCCATTCTAATCCTTACGTACAACTTGCCTTACTTCTGCATGTTGGCGAATAGTCAGAAACTTAACAAATTTATCCAAATTTTCAAGTTGAGATAAGGAGAATGGTTTTGAAGTTACAATCCAAATAACAGTAACTGCCTATAATCAGGATAATTATGATGTAGATCTCTGGTGTAATAACCAAAGGAATTTTCATTTTTTTATTGAAACGGTAGTAAAACACGACTTTGTATAGCAGTGAACTTAAAAACAACTGCTAATCATATTAAATGAAATTAAGAGAAAGATAGTGAATGATAAAACTGCAATAACATACCTACGACTTTGCATTTTTACTAGTGAACCCAACTGTTTGTTCTGCTCAGTCACTTCTCGTTGTTTACAAAGTAAATAATACACCATACGACTCAATTTACAGATGCGGGCCATGTTTAAGGCTTGACCCTGTTTAAGTCGCTTCACATCAGAAGTTAATTTGTGATTAACCGTTAATTCTTTAGAAACAGTTCGTGATTCCTGGTGGGTGACATTTTCCTACATAACAGCAATAAAAATGTTAGCTACTCTGAATATTGTGAATAAAAAAACAACGCAAAGATCACATCTCACGTGAAAATAGAACTATTCCTCACAATAAAAACAGTACAGTATTCATGTCTAGATGATTGTAATTACGTAATAATCATAACAATAATATTAATCTCAATGTCATACGTTGAAAATCACAACGTTTGTTTTGCCTGAATATTTGATCTTTATATTACACACACTAGAGGACAAAATATGCGCGAAAATTGTTTTTGAAACAATGATAACCTTAAGATTATTTATTCCAAAGTTATAGTAACCGGACACCAAATATATTGTCAGAAGAGAAGGACGGTGAGTGACAGTGAGATCCAGGACGTGAGTTTCATCCCATTTGGAACCACATATGTTGGTTTTAACTAATAATCATTTGGAGGAATCAAGCTGGTTCTGAACAGTATTAGCGTGAAAAATAATATGGATATTTTACAGATGACACTTGAGTTTATAAAGGATGTATTATCCAATAACGGCCTAGATATGTGCGATGAATAATAAAAAGCAATCATATAAACACAATGAGCTGGGGAAAGTCAGCTCTACCTCCCAAAATGCTCTCACATGACCACGTACATACAACCACTGCCAGAGAAGTGCTACTCACTGCCTTCTTGCGGCGAGGGTGTTGTTTACGAAATCCAGAGAACGAAAAGTCAATGTCCGTTGCTTTAACCGGGTTGGGGGATATGGAGGATCCACGTAGGGGAGTTGGAAAACCCTAATTCCAAACCAATGGTACACATGGGCTCCAATATCCTGAGGGAGCAAACGGCGTATGAACCTATTGTTGGCCACCAGCTATCGTGCAACTGCATCTCCTTAAGTTGCTCCACTACCTTTTGGATTAGACCCGTAGGTCAAATGCTCATGGAATGGCCTCCTAATAAAATCATCTGCTTCGGTTTGAGTGACCTGAAAGTATTCTAGCCCTCACACAAATCGAGTGAAATGTGTGGTGCATATATATTTGACACCATCTTGTACCAATGTTTATGTGTTTGAATAAATAAAGTGACAGAATAACACTAGTTAAATTACGTTATGATTATGAGTGGTTCGAAAAACAACAAAGGGATAAAAAAATTTGTTTGGAATCATCGAGATCTACGAAACAGAGACATCTAAAATCCTGACTATTTGTAATTAATCATTAGACATTGAGTGTAGACAAATTTTGGTAGAAATATAAAGGAACTCACCATATTAGCGAGTTGATATGAATGTTGGGCTAACTGGTTTAGTTGCTGCCTTTTGAAAGTTGAAACTGCACGGAGCTCATCTAATGGTATGGGACCTCGAGCTTGACTAATAGAAGGGCTTGATAATTCAGATGATAACCACGAGTTACCTAGTGTCAATTAAGCATTAACATTGGTTAAACGACATATTGTACTTTCATAAAACCAATTTGTCTAAATAAGTAAAGGATGAAAAACGAATGAGCTAACGCTCAGATCAATTGATGAAACAATGGTTTACTGACCTACACTTTTGCTGATAATGAGAGTCCAATTTTAGACTTCATTGTCACTATAACTCAATTGAATATGAAACCACTCTTTTCCTTTGCGAAATACGAAAAAAGTACCGTACCAGAGTTTTTACCACTCAGTACTACACACTTGTTTCACGACTGTATGAGATATGGACATGGAATTTGATTGCACATGAGATATATATAGGAACAATCCTCATAAAACAGCGAACTTCGAAAATCAACTACTGACGAACGTTTACAATACCAAGTTTACTACATATGTCTAAAATCATTAACTCTAAGGGTGACTGGAAACTTTGATTAACACATATACAGCAACCGCCTACTTGATTATAATAAAAGCCCACACAATAAACAACACTTGGATCCTGAATGACATCATATTGACTGTTTCACTAATAGGGTAAGGTAATAGTTGAAGGAAGTAGCGAGAACAGACTTGAAATACTTGTTCCACTTAACAAATATTATTTTTTACGATGTCAGATTCTGAAAACTAAAATCAAAATCGAGAGAATCGTAGTGACGATATCTCAAAACTATTGAGTAAAAAGATTAGGTGATACTATAATTTAGGGACGACCTTTGAGTGACGCTAGACTGAACTTAAGGGTGTCCACCTATTCACCAGTACCAAATGAGGTTCAAAAACCTGTGTGGAAAATTAGAATCATGACTGAAAGTTGATGATTAAGGTAAGAAACTAGAATTAGTGTTTTCATCACGAAATGACAGCTATAATGCGAAAACTCTATTTAGCCAAGTGGATGAGTGAATTTCGAGCAAAAATCAGAGACCTGTTATCTTATACGTGATTGGTTCGTCCACAAATTATAGTCTCGCCCCTTCTTACCAAGATTTGACTTCAGATGCAGAGATGGAAGGATGTTTTCTTCAAAGTGCTCCATTGCCATTGAAGATATATCTCGAAGTTCATGCAATATATCATATGGTCTTATCGGAACACCTTGATTCAATCGTATGAACCGACAGACACCTTCCATTTCATCAAGAACTTTTCCAGGGAAAAAACAGCAGCGATCTTTGTCTGCATAGCGCATGATACTCATTTTCAAAAGAGACAAACGTGTCTCGATGGCAGACAGAGTTTCACAATGTCTACACAAGTTCATAACTCAACTAACTCAAACCTGTTAAGCAGGTGATTTCGACGCTCAGATTCACGTCGTGGCAGCTGAGAACGCAGTTCTGAATGAAATGAAACAACCATCCGCTCTATGGTTTTAAATCCTTTGTTGAGAATGCCTCGGCATACAACGTCAAAAAACCTACATGTCTGGAGATATTAAATAACACGCAGAGCAATACCTCTCTCAGTTTTGAAACTTCTTCATAGCTTAAATACTTGAACACTTGCTCAACGAGCTGAAGAGGTAAATCAGCAATATTCGAACATGGCGGCATCACTGACGACCTTTACATACCGAAAACCATGGCTAAGAATAAACCAATTGACGAAAAATTGGCACGAACTATCTACCAAGTCTTATTTCAATTATTTGGTAAATTTTAAAAACACACTTCCACGGAAAGTTTAATTTGCGTCCTACATATTGAAGGAATGCGAAATCTTCTATTTACCAGTATACAAGTGACGTACTTGTTAAAACTCATTTCATTTGCTCTCACCTCTTGTTATCTCTTTGCAGCTTCGAACCTTCGATAGTTTATACTAAAAATCAATCTTCGTGTTCGGAGAGGACAAACTGAACGCGCGCTATTTAAAAAGGACAGTGGTATTTTTCCTCGTTGAGTAAATTCTATTGTTTTGATCGTTATTAACGTATCAAGACTACTGTTTTTATACTCTGACTGAATTTCTTTCAGTTAAAGTATTTTATTAGAGTATCATCTTTGGTATCCTAAATAGTTTTATCGTCGGTACTCCAGAGTACTTTTTTTTTCCATTGTGTCTGTTAGTACTTTGGTCCTAACTGTTTATAGTTTTTTTTCTACTTGTAGTCAACACTCACTTTCGCATCCTAAAATGACTGGAAGATGCAACAAAAGCATTTGCCACCGCCCAGGATGTCGATATCCTGTTGATAGCGGCATGCAGTGCGATGAGTGCAAAGGTTAGTACCACGATGTTTGCACGAATCTAACACCTGCAGCTTTCAAGCGGTTCAGTAAAAATGGGTGCGTATGGCTATGTCAACAGTGCTGTTTGGATGCAAATAGCCTGTTAACCGAGGCCATTTCAATAGTAAATGACGCAAAAAAAGTGTCTCGGCAAGCGCGGTCGGGATACATCAGTCAGAACTCAATCTGTCGACACGCAGTTTGACACAAGGCAGGCCCAAAATGAGTCCAAAAACTTTCGACCCACACTCTACTAAGGAGGAAGAACATCCTCCAAAGAGGACTGTTAAAACCAGAAACTCGCGCAAAAAAGTCTCTTCTGTCCCTCGTATCAAAAATGGTACCCAGAAGGGAACTTCCGGAAGCCGAAACCGCAAGGCTCGATCGGATTCTAGCGCGAAAGATGACCCAATCTCCCAAGTCGTTCTGACTCTTCCGGAATCCCACAGTACGCCTGACGCGAATGTGGTTACCACTCCAAAGAACGTTGGCGATTGGGTACGGGTCGTAAGAAAATAACGCCAAAATGACGTAAAAGGAAATCATACCCCCACCAAAAGAGTCGACAAGCCGAGGTCTGATCACAGCGACAGATCAGTCATTCTCCATAGAGTCAAGGAGAGTGACAACTTAGAACCGAAAGCTCGTTTTGAGTATGACATTGTGTTGATAAAACAACTACTCAACCAAGTTATGCCCAAAAACATCCCCGGAGTCACCTTGCTAAAGGTGTATAGACTAGGAAATCTAGCGCATCTGAAACCAAATCAGTCTAGACTACTCAAAGTCGTTTTCAAATCCTCAAACGAACGCGACCTTATCTTAGAAAATGGACACAAATTAAAGGGTTCAGGAGTTTTTCTCCGTAAGGACTTACCGTTGGCGGACCGTGTTAAAAGACGGGAAGCCGAAAAGGAATTACAGCTCAGATTAGACGATGGCGAAAAAGACCTGAAAATTGTAAATTTTCGGGTTGTGAGGCTTCGACAGAGGATGATGCCGAAGCCACTCTGGGTGAAGCACGAGGCCACCTAAATAGGCTTCGTATCTGTTATACCAACGCCCGGAGCTTACTAAATAAGCTACCGGAACTAGGTGTACAGATTGACTCAACTAGGCCAGACATAATCGCAGTCACAGAAACATGGCTGACGCCGTCTATAGATAGTAGGGAACTTGATTTCGAGGGTTTTACATTGGTAAGGGCCGATAGAATACAAACGCGTAAAGGAGGGGGAGTAGCTCTTTTCATTAGGAATGTTATTCCATTCACCATTATCGACAGTGTATCCCATGAGAGTGGGACGTATGAATTAATTTGCTGCCGCCTGAAATGCAGGGGACAAGAGTTGCTACTTAGTTTGATCTATCGCAGTCCAAGCTGTGAGGCAAATGAGGTCCTGCTAAGCAGTCTCAACACTTTATCACGAAGTGATCGATGTCTAATCCTAGGGGACTTTAATGCACCCATGGTGGACTGGGGAAATCTGCGGACTGAATCGTCAGCAAACTCCTTCGAACAGGAACTAGTTGATGCGGCAATCACATGTGCCCTAGTGCAACACGTGAAGGAAGCAACTAGGTACGACCCGGGTTCTGCATCATCCTTACTAGATCTTATATTGACTCATTATGAGGATGATGTTGCAAACCTGGATTACATGCCACCCCTAGGCAAAAGTGATCATGCAGTTTTAAGCTTTGACTTCCATATAACTGTCGATCACGAGTACGCTTCAGCTCAATTCAGACCTAACGTCTGGAAAGCAAACATAGCAGACAATCGAAACGGCTTGGGACGTATTCCGGAATTTATACTTAAAAGTTACCACCCCCCACATCCCTTGGACTACACCTAAGAGACTGAGAAACTCCCCACCGTGGTTCAGTAGGGAGGTTCGCATCCTTCTCCGTAAAAGAAGGAAAATGTGGGACAGATTTAGGTTACTGGGGACTGACGAGGCAAAATCTCAGTATCAAAAGGCTCGAAATACCTGTGCCTCGACCCTCCGTAAGGCCAGAAAGCTCTACGAAGAGAAAATCGTTAGGGAATCCATAGAATGCCCTAAACGCTTGTATTCGTATATAAACCAAAGGACAAAAAGAAGAAGAAATGTTCCTTCATTATGGGGAGACAGTACTGCCACATCACTAGTGGAGGATGACTTTGGCAAAGCTCAAGTATTCTCTAAATACTTTAGCGATATATGCACCATAGAAACACCCTTCTCACCAGTCCATGAAAATCCACCCACACAAGCACTGGACAGCGTAACCATTGAAGAACTCAATGTCTTTGGTCTGCTAGTTAAGCTTGACATAGGTAAATCCACTGGACCCGATGAACTGCATCCTAGATTAGCTAACTTTGTTGCGAACCCTTTAAGTGTATGTTTTAATCTATCCGTAACCCAGGGTCGTCTACCAAAAGACTGGAAGAACGCCATAGTAAGTCCAGTCTTTAAAACAGGTACAAAACATAAGCCTGAGAATTACTGACCAATTAGCCTAATTAGTGTGGTTGTTAAAATCTTAGAAAAGATTATTCGGAAGGAAATGTTAAAGTATCTCGATGAAAACCGGATCCTCTCCGAAAAACAGCATGGTTTTAGAACAGGTTACTCTTGTCTCACAAACTTATTAGTCGCTCGTGAAAGCTGGTGCGCTCTTAAGGACCAAAAATTACCTATAGACGTAGCTTACATCGATTTCAGCAAAGCTTTCGACAAAGTTCCGCATAACCGGCTGTTATATAAGCTAAGTAATGTCGGGATTGGAGGCAATCTATTGATGTGGATAAAAGACTTCCTAGTTGGGCGTCAACAAAGAGTAAGGGTGAACTCCAAGTTGTCTAGCTGGGAAACTGTGCTTAGTGGAGTCCCATAGGGTACAGTTTTGGGGCCAGTGTTATTCCTCCTGTACGTAAATGATCTCCCTCGTCTACTATCATCATCGGTCTTACTCTATGCTGATGATGTCAAGATATGGAGAGCGATACAAAGCAAGGGCGATAGCTTAGAACTTCAAAATGACCTGGAGAGATTATCTGAATGGTCCCAAACCTGGCAATTGCCGATAAACACTTCCAAGTGTATTGTGATGCATATTGGCCATCAGGGTACAGATACATACACGATGAATAACACTGAGTTACCTATTGTTCAGGCACACAATGACTTAGGCGTCATCGTCAGTCAAGACTTAAAGACTACTGCACACTGCCGTGCAATAGCCGCCAAAGGTTTTAGGACTTTATGGTCCATACGCAGGGCTTTTAGGCATCTTGACGCTAAAACGTTTCTGACTTTGTATACAGTGTTCGTACGCCCTAAACTTGAGTACTGTATACAAGCAGCTAACCTCTGCCTAAAAAAAGACAGTGAATTCTTGGAAAGGGTTCAGAGAACAGCAAGTAGGCTGATTCCCGGAATAGCGAAGCTCCCGTATGGTACTAGACTGAACAAGCTAAACCTATTCCCGCTGTCATATAGAAGAATCAGAGGTGACTTGATTATAGTTTTCAAATTGCTTAATGACAAATTTGCACCTGATATGCCCTCATTTTTCTTGTCTTCCAAAACAGAAAATCTACGAGGACACTCCAAAAAAGTTCACAAGCCCAGAACGAATTACTTGTCAGCTGACTACCGACTTTCCCATCGAATAATCAACGAGTGGAATTCATTACCTCAGCACGTGGTTGAGGCTCCATCCATCGACTCCTTCAAAAGAAAGTTGGATCAGCTGAGAGACCATCATTGCCAGGACTAACACAGGCCATCAAGCCTCCTGTCCTTTCCAAACTGAAACTGAAACTGGAGGGCAAGATTGAACTAAATATATATATTCATAATGAGAGCTAGCTGTCCACTCACGTAAGGCTCATATAAACACACAGGATGAAGCTCACGCGTTGCAAATTGAAAGCATAAACTGCCTATACATGAACGCCACGAGTTTGCCATACAAAATGGGTGATTTATGTGAACTTAGCAACGCCATTGATTCTCATCTGATAGGGATAACCAAAACTTGGATATCTATTGGTCACTTCAAGGACGGATTTGCATCCGATGTCAAAGAATGTCTTAGTTTACGGACCAGAAGTTAGCGGTACTAAGAATGTCTTTGTTTCGCAAAGACAGGAAAATTTGAATAGAGGGCGTTGTAGCATTATACATACGATCTTGCATGGAGGCGCACCAACTTCGCAACCAAGATTTTCTCAATCTTGATGAGTCAGTATGGTGCTCAGTAAGGTTGTCTACCACCTCGAGGTGTCTAGACGGGTCATATAAAGGAAGCCTACTATTGACATCGAGTATGACAATCGTTTGCTGTAAGAATTAACTCGCACCACGCGTCTTGGATTCTCTCATATCCTGATTCTAGGAGACTTCAATCTTCCTGGAATCAATTTCGCGGAACATACCTACAGTGAAGGTGACAATACTACTGAAGCTCGGTTCTTCAACCTCATTAATGATGTGAGATTATTCCAAAATGTGAATTCGGCAACTCGTTGGAGAAACAGTCAGACGACTTCACGCTTACACTGAGTATTCAAAAAGGAAGAATTCCTAGTCGACGACCTCCCAATTCTGGCTACCCTGGGGAAAAGGCAATACAAACATGTAAGGAACATATGCACAAAGACAATAAGAGAAAACAGGCTTCAGTACCAGACCAAGCTTATCGATAAATTTATCTCCAATCCGAAAAGCTTATTCCGTTCGACAAGGCAAAACTGGAGTTTCCCAACTGCTTGGTCCTAATGGCCCAACCGATAACGACGGTGATCAAGCTAATCTTTTAGCTGAACAATACTCTCGGACATTTCAACCGACCCACATCAACTATGCTGATGAAAGCTTCACCTGCACTTGCACAGGACTTTTCGAACTGGACGTCAGCGTTGACCTGGTGCTCCGTAAACTGCAGCACATAAGATGAGACACTTTTACAGGTCCCGATATGATTCATTCTGCCATACTGAAAGAAGCAGCTTCAATCCTGTCAACATCACTTAAGGTGATGTTTTCACACTCGCTAAGCCTAATCAAACTGCCGGAAATTTGGAAGCTGGCTCTTATTACCCCAATTGTCAAAAGAGGTTGACGCAGTGAACCCTCAAGCTACCGACCAGTGGCCCTTCTCTCCAAACCTTCTAAAATTATGGAGTCCCTGATATACGACGGTATACACGAATACTTATTGTCCCTGAAGTTATTTTCACCCCAAAAGCATGGTTTCAGAAAGGGTCATTCTTGAATGACCAACCTGCTGACTGCGGTGGATAGATGGACAATCATCCTTGATCGCAAAGGGAAGGTTGAGGTTATTTACCTTGATTCCTCAAAAGCTTTTGATAGGATCAACCACATATGTCTTATCAAGAAGCTTAGATGATTGGGTGTAAAACTTCCTCTGATTGACTGGCTCGCTTCATATCTAGAAAGACGAAATTTTAAGGTCAACGTATATAACGTTGAGCCACGAAACCAGTTCGGGTACTTCAATCACTTAAATTCTACCCGTCAGAGTACAGGCGTCTTAGAAGCGACCTTCTTAACACTTACAGTATCCTTAACACTTCTGGTCATCCCCTTGAGCATCTACTTAAGGTTAGTCACAACACTAACCCCATAGGTAACATCCAGAAATTGGAGACCCAAAATAGTAAAACAGACTGCAGACACAACATCTATTCAGTAAGAGTTGTCAAATGCTGGAATTCGCTGCTGATTGAGCTAGTTCAAGTGACTTCCCAGGAGTCCTTCATAGGAAACTTGACTTATTCTCAAGGATAACATACTATTTTGATCTACCAAATTCTTTTTTCCTTTATTATCGTTACTATACCTAGGTTCTTGCCTGGAGGTATTGGTGATCCACTGCTATTTGACACGGAAGCCCGTTAACAGAAAACTTCTTCTATTCCGTCCACAACCATTTGAACCATTTGAATATATTTACACTTCAAATACAAAGACGTCAGATGAATTGAGGGTTATTTTCACTAAAGCTTGTGCTCTAAAAATCCATCTTATGTGTTTTTCGATATTATTAATATTCTTTTGGTTTACTTTTCTAATTTTTATGTTGATTTTCATCGTGTGAACAGATTTATATGTCTCTCTATCTTCTACGGTCAAACTTTTATGATTTTACTGGCACTTAGCTCTGTCTATACTGTTAGACTTCATTATGCCATAACGTCAGATTATTATCGATGGGATATTGTTTATGATGCCTTTCGCTATGTTAATTCCGTGTCATTGGGCTTGAAAGACCAGAAGTATCTTATGGGACAACATTCATATCATCTGAAGTGTATTCTAATATAGTGGATTCCATCTAGCCAGAAAGTATTCTGAATGCTAGAGGACATCATTGAAGAGTGTTGTAACCAAATAAATCGAGAATGAACGATTTGACAATCACAAGGAAGACACTAAGTTTTAAAGATCAAAGGAGTAGTTAACAAACTTAAAAACGCTTTAGTCTCCATTCACGATATATGTGTGAAGTGCAAATTCAAAATGTTGATATGATGTAATGCCAGCCGAAATTTTTTTCATCGTATTATATTTACCATAACCCCAAAGCGACATTAAGATCTAAGAGCACTTCGTTAGAGTTAATGAAAAAAGTACTTAATTATTAGGTGACTACTTGGAGGCGACAAATATGGCAAATGAATCCACATTGTCCAGATTAACTCCTAATCTTGCTCATCAAGGTGAAGGTCTCTCAAGTAACATTTGATCGATTCACGTAAAAGACATAACAGATATTTAGGGTTTGACAACGCTTTAACGTGTTACACTATTATATTCGAAGGACGTCAATCCAGTCAAATCAGAAGTCGGAAATAAGTGGGTTTGAATGTATCTTTGAAAACTTGTTGATATATTAAGAAGCTTTTGATCTAGACTGACCAGTAGTTTCAAGGCTCGCGTAGCACAGCATATCACTCGCGATCTGGTGCGGTTGCATTACTGAGTGCATTCAGTAAGGATGTCTCAAGTAAAACTAATAGGACGAAACGGCCGTGCAATGCTCCCAGGTTTTCCATGGTGGTCTAGCTTCAACTGTTTCACGATCTCAACTGTTAAAACTAATTAGCTTCAATGCTAAATACTTGCAGAACTATTTCTTCTGGGGTTTCGATTACCGCTACATAACATGACTGCCTTATAAATGTAAATCAGATAATTTTTGTTCATTCACATACCATTTTATTGATAAATACCTTGATTCCTGCCACCTTTTTACACATTACTATCTTTCGAAAGGATATGACGAATTATGGATCTTATGTAAAGAATATTGTCATTCAACCTACTTGATTTCGCCCAAAATTATTTCGACCATTTAAAACACCCATTTTTCAAGTGCGTCTATGCTGTAAAAAATGTCGAAAAATCTTTTAAGAGTTAAATATGGTTATGTAGGCTGTTTTAACGCATTTGATTCCACGATCTTTGTTTTATTCAATTAAAAAAGGGATACTCGCCAATTACACAGATTTTGTAGTTTGACGTCTTGAAGGCCGGCGGTACTTGTAAGTTTCTTGTCTTTGTTTTGCGAAATTGTTAGTCAACTTCTTTTTGGTGGTTTTTGTTTCAGGCTTTTTTGTCACGAAAACCTTATTTCGCAAAGTATTCGTTTTATCTCATTTTTTTCGCTAGACGTTAACGTCAAGTCTCTTCCACACTAATTTTCCATCCAATGTTGTTGTAATAGTGGTGTTCTGTATGTTGTATTCCCACTGGTTTTCTCCACGTTAGTGTATATATGTTAGTCAACTAGTTTTACGCTTTTGGCTGGGTAAATACGTCATTGAAGAAACATTACTTGCTTGACATTGCAAATTACCATGAAGTTACATTCATAATTTGCACCAGTTATTGTAACTGTATAAACTGTTGACATCCAACAATTTGATACAGATTTTCTGTTAAATTTCAATGGGGATTATGTGGTATAATTTTTCTAATATAAAGCATAGGAGTAGATCATGGAATTAAAATTTATTATCGAGATGAATTTTAATGAATTTGTTCAAAAAAATCAGTAATTCTGCTTCAGGTTAGATTCACGGAAATTTTATAGTGAGTAACTCAATAGAAGTAGTGTGACGTGTGATGGTTTGCTTGGATACGTTATTAAGGATGTTTTGTGTTGATGTACGTTTTATAACTTCTTACAACGCTCGTGAAATGAAACCTTAAGCTATTCAACTAGCTGCACATGTTCATTCACTACTGTTTTGCGTGTTTTCACTGTGATAGCTGCTTGAACTGAGGCGGAATTTTAGTTTAAAATAGGGATTAACTACCATATTTTTCTGTTTCATCTCATGAAACCTGTAAACAAAATATGGTTTTGTCGTCAAATTATTGTTCTGTTTCTGTGAATAGGTTTTATGAGTTCATGCAGCTCGGGCTAATATTTTACGCATTCGATTTTACTGTGTTTAGTATGCGCTCTAACTATTTAAGGAGTGATTACTTTTGATTAGCTCATTGCTGCACCGGATTATAGAAATGGTATGTATGTACATGAATTGCTCCCGAATGATGACCGTTCATAAGATTGAACAATTGATGCAATTGCTCTCATGGTTTGAAATTGAAGAATATAATCTGTCAGACGAATAGATTACATGTGCGATAGAATGACATGCTTATATACAAAATTGATATCATATCAAACACGATAACATGCCATAAACGCTTGTGTAAGATTGATTTGTAGGTCACTCCCTCAACGGGTAATCAATACACTGCTATATTGTCTGGTTCTTTGGAATAATTGAAAGGGTCGTGGATGAATAAACTTTGGACATGATTGAACCACTTCATGATATTTTAATAGACCTTGATTTTGTATTTTATATGAACCTGAAACAGCAATAATGATTTCTTCTAAAACAAATCCATTAAAATTCAGTTCGATACTATATTTTAATTCCATGATCTATTCCTGTGCTTTATATCAGAAAACTTATACTACACAATCACCATTGGAATATAACAAAAATGTGAAGTAATTTATCAACTTACTCTGCCTTCTCTGGTGTTCTTACTTGTAACGTGTTTCTAACTTTTACATCAATTAATCCCACGTTTTATTCGGCATCAGTAAAATGTATGATGAATACTGCTACTCGAGTTTTTTTCGTCATATTAAATCTGAGCTGATGTTAGGGATACGTGATACTTCGTCTTTTGTAAATCTTGGAATTATTCTTTCTCATTTATCCGGACTTACATTCTAAATGAGCACTGTTGCTAGTATTGATATTTTGAATGTTCTGACCCACTATAATATACTTTAGGCATGGAGGATAGTAATTTTGTCATGATTTTTCTTGTCATTTCTTTACATGTGCTTATATTTCGGTCATAGCTGTCATCACCAACCTTGGAATTTCTTCCACATTGTAGAAATTAATTTGCTGCATATTTGTTATCATTTATGTAGGTAATATCATCTTACTCATTTAGGTTTTCACATATTTCCATTGAAATCTGAAAACAGGTCGGATGAGCATCCATATATTTCCTACACAATGTGGTGTGGATCCCTCGGGAAGCGAAATATCAACTACAGACAGCCTTATTCAAGAATTTCAAGAATTCGAAGCACAAGTATATTCTGGTGCGTTATTCGAACAAAAATGCAGAACTAGTACTCCATCAAATAAAAACGTGGATTCTTCACCAAGTCAAATGAACAATATCTCTGCAATAAAATTTGACCCGTGTTCTCGAGGAATTTGTGCCAAGCAGCAGTTGAAGAATTGTGATCCGAATGAAGTAAGTTAAATCGTTTGGCGTTTTAGTTCTATTAGGGAGAACACAAGGAAAAATAGCCTTTGGCTAATGTAGGAAACACTTTAATCGATGTCTTAATCAAGACTAACGATTTGCGATTCTTCAAAACCTACTGTCTGATAGTAAGAAGAAAAGCTTTTAATGAGGTCATGGATCACGTTGACTTATGTCGTGCAATAAGTAAATGATAAATGTATTTAGAATGAAATATGAAATTTAGCAGATACTTTCTAAATTACTTCCTAACTTGTAATAGCTTGGTTAGGAGGCTTTATTATCAACTGGATGTTAATTTCTTTCAAACCAATTTGTTCTGTGGTGTTGTGTTAGCGAGACATAGGATTAAATCATGTTCCGTGTAGGATTGTGTTGGGGCACACAGATTGGTTATTTCCTACTAAATGGGCAGAATCGTAAATCATGCCGATCATGATACAACCAACTGGCAGTCCTTGGTTTCGTATGAGTTGTTCTCGGCTTCTGAGCTAACTTAGTAATAACGTTGACACTACTGCATATTAAATTCGGATTTGCGTGTCCAGTTAACTCATTGTCTCGTCTGATGTTTTGTAGCCGTTTACATTCATCTGTCAATGTCCTGCGTGTGACATTCGGATTTTGGCCCAGTCGAGTCAAAAGTCTAGTCCTAATCTCAGCATCTTATGGTGACTGAATAGCTTTGATGAATATTAGGCATTTAAATTGGTCTTCTGTCAATGAGCGTAACTTGAACCGTTCAAACTCTCTGGTGACGACGTCTTCTAGAGCATCATATTCATCGGTTTCACGTTTCACCAAATTTAGACACTGATATCAAATACTAAACTATGAGTAGGATTCACCGAATATCTCTGGCAATTGTGTTACTGTCTCCTCAAAACTGAGCTCTCGAGGTAACTTTGGCAATATATGATCAACACAGTGTGCATGTTCATTGCTTCCCAACTTACACATCAACAATTGAGTCTTCTGTGCGTCATCTTGTATACAGAATTCTATTCTAAATGTATCTTCCCAACGCTCGAACCACGTGAGAAAGGTATTTCCGCTTTTGGGATCATAGATGAATTCTGGGATGCTGCTAGCAGCTACATCACAAGAAGCACTTAGAATAGCATGTGAACTCGAGCAGCGGATGTTAAACGTTTGCGCCAAAGTTTCCAACAACCTCATTTGTTCAAGTTGTGCTTGCTGTTGTTGTACTATTCAGTTTGACTGGTCATTTGATATCGGCATCTTGAATGTACTTTCCTTTTTCACCGTCTGCACTGTTACAATTTCTCTTGTCACGACCCGTCTACTCTTATTGTTTAATGGTCTTGGATACCAATCCACTGGACAAGTCTCCAAATCAGAACACGGAGGACACGGAGGGTCCACCTAGGGGAGTTGGAAAACCCTGATTCCAAACCAATGGTGCACATGGGCTCCAGTATCCTGATGGAACGAATGGCGGAAGAACCTGTCATTGGTCAACGGCTACCATGGGACTGCATCTCCTCACGATGCTCCACTGCCTTGTGGATCAGACCTTTAGGTCAAAGGCTCGGGGTGTGGTCCCCTAAGAAAACCACCTGCTTCGGTTTGGGCACCCGGGCAGTATCACAGCCCACACACAATTGAATGAAATGATGAACTCTGTTGACGATTCTATTCCTGCTCATATTATAAGCAAGACAATTTACATTATTATTATTATTATTATTACTATTATTATTATTATTATTATTATTGTTATTATTACTTACCATATCGCTAATTCACCCCCTTTTATCCCCAATTTGTGTAACCTTACTCTTCAACTTATGCAGCAGCTCGCTCTTGGTGGAAAATCTGTCCTATCTAAACGATCTCCAGTCACTGTCTGGTTGAAAGTGAATGCTTCCACCGATAATGAATACTGAGGTAGTCTTTCTGAAACCACGTACGCCGTTCAAGCTGGCTTCCTTCAACGTTCGCACACTAATGCAGATCAGACAACAGATAGGGCTGGCTATGTCTTTGGAAGGTCTTAATGTTGACGTTTGTTGTCTATCCGAGACCCGTATTCAAGACTCTAGTGAAGTACTACAAATCCGCTCTCCATCTGTCGCCTCGAAAAGCTTGTTCCACGTGCGCTTATCCGGGGACCCTGTGGCATCTTCGTCTGGTCTTGCTGGCGTTGGCGTCGCACTAAGCGCTAGGGCTGAGGCAGCACTAATCGATTGGATCCCCATTAACAGTCGGTTATGTGCTGTTAGATTAGAAAGTTCCATCAAAGTGAGAAGAAACCGGCGTGAGAAACGGTGTCTTTTCGTCATCTCCGCCTATGCTCCGACAGATTGCAGCCCGGATGCAATCAAGGATGAGTTTTACCATCAGTTAACAGTTCTTCTCCAGAAAGCGCGTTCGACAGATATTGTAGTACTAGCCGGAGACTTGAATGCACAGGTCGGGCGTCTAGGCATAGAAGAGAGTCGTTTAGGTGGCTGATGGGGACTTGTTGGTCGCAGGACAGATAACGGGGACCGTTTGCTGCAACTGTGCACAGACCACAACCTGTTTCTGGCCAGCACCAACTTCCGGCACAGTCATCGCCGGTGTGCCACCTGGCGTCCTCCCTCTGCATCCCAAGCCTGGACTCAGATTGATCACATCGCGATCAGCTACCGCTGGCGTGGTTGTGTGCAAGACTGCCGCTCCTTTTGGAGTACCTATCTGGAGTCTGATCATGCCCTGGTCTGCGCCAATCTCACCTTACTTTTCAGTGGCCGAAGGATTGACCACCACCAACGGATTGATATTAGTAAACTGGCTGCAACTCCTGTTGCAAGTAAGTATCGAGCGGAGCTAGCCTCTAGGCTAGCTACCATCCCACCGAAAAGTATAGATGAGCATTGGTTGCATCTTCACGACGCCATGAAAATGGCGAGTAAAGCCGCTTGCGGCTTCGCGAAACGTCCCGCTTACAAGCACTGGGTCTCTTCTGGCTCCTTACAACTGATCGAAGCCCGTCGGTCTACTCCGGGTGACCGTGAGTTTGACCACAAACGAAGGCTGTTACGTAATGAAATCGGGCAAAGCTTGCGTAAGGACCGAGAAGCCTGGTGGTCGGAGCGTGCTAATGAGATGGAAGCAGCAGTTGCATCTGGTAACTCCCGGAAGCTCTTCCAACTCATCCGAGCCACTGGCAGCAAGAAGTCTGGTGTGAGTGAAACAATCTACGAGGATGATGGGATGCCAATCACTAACATCTCCCGACGTCTTGGACGATGGGCGGAATTTTTCGAAGGGCAGTTCAACTGGCCTGCTGCTCCGGCAACATCAACCAGCTTGTCCTGCCCCCCATGGCCGGTGACGACTGTTCCACCAAACGAGGCGGAAGTCCGCAAGGAACTCCAACTCTTGAAGCGCTACAAATCACCTGGCCCAGATGACTTACCTCTGGCTCTTTTTAAAGATGGTGGCGACTTTCTGACTAAGGAATTGACTGTGTTGTTTGGAAAGGTTTGGGAGCAAGAAAGTGTTCCAACATCATGGAATGAGTCAATAGTCGTCCCTATCTTTAAAAAGGGTTCGCGTTGTTCCTGCAATAACTATCGGGGGATAAGTCTACTTCCGATTGCGTCCAAACTATTGGCTTCTATCATTCTTCGTAGGTTGTTTAAAACCCGAGAACGATTGACTCGCGAGGAGCAGGCTGGTTTTCGTTCTGGTCGAGGATGCATTGATCACATCTTCACCCTCCGCCAAATGTTAGAACACCGTCATACTTATCGCAGGCCAACAATCGTAGTGTTTCTTGATATCAGGGCGGCCTTCGATTCGTTGGACAGGACTGTTCTCTGGGATTGTCTATTGAAGAAGGGTGTGCCTGAGAAGTTCATTAACATCTTAAAGGCCCTGTACACGAACACCTCAGGCAGAGTGAGGGCATACAACCACCTTTCTCCCTTGTTCCATTCGAGCAGTGGGGTTAGGCAGGGTTGCCCGATCTCACCATTCCTCTTCAACTTTGCCATCGACGACATCTTGGAAACAGCTCTGATGGATGTAAGTAATGGCGGTGTGGATATGTTGCCTGGAGAACGACTTCTCGACCTTGAGTATGCGGATGATATTGTCTTACTGTGCGATAATGCCCAAGGCATGCAATCAGCACTTAATCAGTTGGCAATCAGTGTCCGCAGGTACGGCATGTGCTTTGCACCCTCCAAGTGCAAAGTACTTCTACAAGACTGGCAGGATTCTAATCCTGTACTCACCCTGGATGGTGAGGAGATCGAAGTAGTTGAGAAGTTCGTGTATCTAGGTAGCTATATAAGTGCTGGTGGTGGCGTGAGTGATGAGATTGATGCACGTATAAGGAAAGCCAGATCGGCTTATGCCAATCTGGGCCATCTTTGGCGCCTTCGTGATGTTAGTCTGGCTGTAAAAAGTCGGATTTACAACGCGTCGGTGAGAGCAGTTTTGCTCTATGCTTGTGAAACCTGGCCTCTCCGAGTTGAGGATGTTAGACGTCTCTCTGTGTTCAATCATCGTTGTCTCCGAAGGATTGCTGACATCCAGTGGCAACACCATGTTAGTAATGCAGAGGTTCGGCATCGTGTGTTCGGGCACAGAGACGATAATTCAATTGGTGTCACCATCTTGAAACACCGACTTCGGTGGCTTGGACATGTTTTACGAATGTCGTCCCAGAGACTTCCACGTCGTGCATTATTTGCCGACCCTGGGACTGGTTGGAAAAAGCGGAGAGGAGGTCATTGTATAACATGGTGTCGTGGCATGAAAGAAAGCTGCAAAGGGCTAGCTTCTGTTGGTCCTTCACGACTCCTTGGTTGGGGTCCGAGAGATGGTGCAACACAGTGGCTAGAGACGTTATCAGATATGGCTCAGAATCGAAGCCAGTGGCGATCCTGCTGCAACCTTCTTTTACTTTCTACATAAAGTATGGTTCTTACTTTCCTATTTGAAAGAGTCTTCTGGTTGTACATTTTAGTCCGCCTTATCTTTTCATCCCTTCTCTTCCTACTTTCATTATTTTGTGTGGCGCATATGTACCTGGTGCCCTTTTGTACCAATATATATGTGTTTAAATAAATAAATAAATAATAAATCAGAACACGATTGAATAGGAACGTAATTTTATTCCAAATAACAAGGGTGAGTGGAAGTTGTCTATTTCCTTACTAATTAGAGCTAGTAGATGCTTGGAGAAGACTTTAGAACCTTTTTATGTAAAAATTATGAATATAATGATGTGGGTAGTAATTTTCAGACCACACAGATTATTGTTATCTGAGTGTCCGCTTTTTCTTATGTTTCGGTATGTCTTTCTGTATACTCAATAACAGGTTTCTGATGTTGAAGTAGACAGTTTAGATGATGAACCAGTGAATTCTACAGTCCAAATCAATGCATCATCAGAAACAAACGGATATGTATTTGAAAACAAAGACAGTGATTCTTTTAGTAATCGCTCAAAGCTTTCACGTATTCCACAGGTGAATGATCATACAAACGTTTTGTGACAAGAGTTTATTGGGTCAGAAATTTGTTTGATGTCTTAAAACTTAAAGTTTAGTATCACTGTTAGTTTATTCCTTTTTATTTCATCCGATATAAGGAAAGTGAAATGGCTAGTTCGCTGATAATTTTGACATTGCATATTAGGTAATAAGTTTTATCTGTCTAGGAACTGTAATAATGAACAGAAACTCAACTACACGGGCAAATACTAAAACATGCAGTAGTTTAGACATGTGACCATAATGGTTATGGGTTAATCGGTCAGCAACTAAACTGAAAGCTCCACATGACGAGTGCTTTCACATGGTAGTGATCTTACTAGATTTTATAACACGTATTAAAACAATAGCAATGACGGTTGATTATATATTTGATGATATACGTCAGACCGTTAGAGATATTTTTTCATTTAGTGAATTGAATGAATTTTTCGTTCTCATTGCCGAGAGAGTAATCAATTAACATATGTTATTCGGTATTCACATTTATCGTTTTCATTGTCCCGTTACAAAACCATCTGCTTCGGTTTGGGGCGCGAGAAGTATCACAGCCCATATACAAGTATGATGACGTTACTGATAATTTCATTTCTTTATTTTGATACTCAATCGTATCAGAATAAACAAAGACAAAATAAATTGGTAAACTCTTTCCGCTATATTGGAAGGTTATTAGTCTTTTTTTAAGTCTCACACCTACAGTATATCATGGATTTTTCAGGTTTTCAATTTTCGAGATTGTTTTTCATAAAAAGATTTAATTATTTAAGCGTAAACCACAAGACCTTAACTTGTAGAAAATCATAGCTAGTGGGCATTGGTCAATATAGTTATATTCCAATAGGTGCCTTCTAAAGTAGGGGTAATACTTGCCAAATATTTTTCAACCGAGGTTTAGGCTTTGGATTTTAAAAACCATGTCGATTAAACTACTACATCACGATAGAAATTCTTCATTCTCGTAATACTTGTAGTACAAAGATGACCTGGTGCGGCCGAGAGTGGCAGAGTCAGCTCTACCTCCCAAAATGCTCTCACATGACCACGTACATACAACCACTGCCAGAGAAGTGCTACTCACTGCCTTCTCGCGGCGGGGGTGTTGTTTACGAAATCCAGAGAACGAAAAGTCAATGTCCGTTGCTTTAACCGGGTTGGGGGATATGGAGGATCCACGTAGGGGAGTTGGAAAACCCTAATTCCAAACCAATGGTACACATGGGCTCTAATATCCTGAGGGATCAAACGGTGTATGAACCTATTGTTGGTCACCGGCTATCGTGCAACTGCATCTCCTTAAGTTGCTCTACTGCCTTGTGGACTCGACCCGTAGGTCAAATGCTCATGGAATGGCCTCCTAATAAAATCATCTGCTTCGGTTTGAGTGACCTGAAAGTATTCTAGCCCTCACACAAATCGAGTGAAATGTGTGGTGCATATATATTTGGCACCATCTTGTACCAATGTTTATGTGTTTGAATAAATAAATAAATATAGCAATTTACATTTGTAAGTAACCTAGAGCTACTAATCACTGGTTATTTATTTAAACTTATATGATGAAGATTATTTTAATATTATCATTGATAAAGTCATTAACTCATTTACTATCCAAAAAGATGTACTGTTAGCAGATCAGTTTTTAGCATTCACAATTTAAATCACTTTCCAGTTAATGTATACGATGTGATAGTGTTTTTTTTAAACTTCATTTCTTGATAGCTGATCAGATCCCCCAATCGTTCCCTTAGTCAGTCCCTTATTTCAAACAATCAGGAGGCAGTGAAAAAGACTGCGTCTACAATATCTCGCCACAGTATCCCTTCACAGATGGAATTTCCTGTCTTACAGTCAGCTGCCAACACAACAAGGACGACTAGTAAACACCATGTATCCAATTCTGACTTTATTAAAGCAAAACATCCAGGAAGCAACCAGTATTTCGTCCCAAATTTACTTACAACATCAGATGTGACGGAAAGCAATCAAAATTATCATTTAACAACACCTCTCCCCAATCCTCCATATGCACAGCCAAGTTTATCATTCGATTCAATAAATAACTCAAAATCATGCAATAAAACTGGGGTACAGGTCACAGTTAAGAAGCTAGATTCATCATCTCCGTCTATAAATAATTTGGATCTATCTAGTCTGAATAAAATAAATATGGATTCGATTGCATCGTATGCTCACGAAGATCCCATTGAGACACATGATCTAGTTGTAGCTAAAATGGCTGCAGATGGAGTAGTTTGGGTACCATCTAACGCAAATCATTCTTCCATTAATACTACATCTGCTGAAAAAAATGAGGTTCATCAATCTATTTTACAGAAAACTGATCAATTGAGATGGTATTCCGAGGAAATCGAAGAAGAGAAAATAAATGATAATGTGAGTTAATGAATACTATTTCTTATGACAGTGAAATGAATAGACAACAAACCTTTTGGAATCGTTTATCTTTGAAATGTAGTTGACTATGAATGTCTATGTATACCTTGTCCATTTACTACCTTACATAAAATGTTTATTGAGTTACCAATAACGTCAGATTTTGGTTGGGTTCTTTCATTGATCGATATTGCTGGTTAATGTCCCTAAGTGATATAATTGATTATTGTTTACACAAGCTCAGATATCTGTACACATTTAGTTTTTATAAATATTGAGCAGTAAGTATTAGGCACCATTTATTTTAGTCTTGATAGATAACAGTTTTTATACTTTCTTCATATTTGTATTGACTCACTAAATACAGTTGCACAATGTTTCATTTGGAGCTTGTGTAGTTTCGTATGAGTCCCTACTTGAGTATTGTTCTGTTTCCATACGTGATCTAGAACAGATAGATACACTTCACTAATCTGGAGATTATTACATAGTGATCATTTATTACTATTTACTTTCATTTCAACCTATAAATATTGAAGATTCATATGCTTCCGATAGATAGCTATCATTTTCTTCATTTTCATATATGGTAACAATTCTGTAAAAGATTTACTTTATATGCACTGGATTATTTGAAAATCATTTCCACCAGTGATTTTGTTCTTGTTAATCTGATCAAAGGTTAAATAGACTCAAATTAGTTCGTAAAGGACTGAAAGATGTGTATGTATTGCTGACTTATTTTATGAATATGAAATTTCTAGTCATAAACTAAGTTGACACACCAGTTGCTTTCACTTTTTTTTTCGAATAAGTAATATTCTTTTTGTGTATATTGTCCGTGATTTCTTCAAAAGTATGTTAAAATGCATAATTGTTTTTTTTCCGTGTACCTCATAAATAAGAACTGTCTAGACTTAAATGTTCACTTATGATATTAAATAGTTAATCGGTCAAAATGTTCACCAGTATACCATTACATATTTAGATTTTTCTAAGATTTATATCATGCATTCAAGTACTTACGTATTGTTTTTTAGTTATATTGAACATCGACTCGTTTATTTATTGTACCTTTTGTGTACTACTCGACGAATCTGTCATATATGTTAGAAAGTTTGTCATATTCACACTACTTAAGTTTTACGTTGTTTATTTGTGTATTTCCTCTTGTGTTTACGACAGTATTTTCATGTTATTATCGATTCAGTTTGTGTGCGAAATAAGTGGTGAACACTGAAATCATGAATAGAATATTTAATAACCTAGTATTGTATTTCATTTTTTAAAATTCGAGCAAAATAATTTCGTATGTTGTTGTAGATGTTGTAGCTCATGTCAATCACCGGTTTCCCACAGCATAGGAGGATATTTTTGAGGTCTATGAAAAGAAAACTAAATTAGTAGTAATCTTGTCGACTTTCATATATGACTGCAGAGCCCAAAAGGCTCCTGTTTGAGGCCGGTCGCTCACGGCCTTTTTGTAAGTATTTGATGTAACTCTATATATGAGGTCTAGTGATACTAAACATGAATTCCGGATGAACTTGCTACTCAATTGTTCATATTGCTACCACTATATACTGTGCAAACTGCAGTATGCTGAGTTTTAAAAAATGTTCATAATAAATATAATTGATGTACCGATTATAAGTTTATGGATTCGAGTTTCAAGTGTATTGTTTGTGTCAAGGCTAGTAATACTTACTATATGCCTTCAACCTATACAAGTTGATCGCAGTTTGAACTTTGGAAGTGCTGGTTCAAAGAAGAGACACCGCTTCTAATCTTCAATCAAGTGATAGAAAATTGAATGTTTATCTTGAACGATTGATTACTATCATGAACGTTCACTCGATTATTATATATGACTCTACATTTTTGATAAACTTTTCTTATTGGTCATTACTTTTTTTAACTGATAAATATTTTCAGGAGAGAATTTCGTGGAGATTTTAGTAATTTTATAGTTGAATTCATGAGTTGATTGAATCTAGACCATTATGGAAAACGTGGAAGTACTGGGCGGCCGCTTCGTCCTATTGTGCATCGACGATCCCACTCGCGGGATTCGAACTCAGGACTTTTGGTCTTGCGCACGAACAACAAACCTCTAGGCCAATGAGCTGTTATCCAGTGGTGTTAGTATCTAACTCCAAACAATCCACGAAATTGCGAGACCATCCATTATTGTATTCAGTGAGTTACTATCTGACAACAGACCCGGTTGAACTCCACTGGTTTCTCAATTTCGTGGATTGGTTGAAGTTGGAAATTAACACCGTTGGATGCCGGCTCAGTGGTCTAGAGGTTAAGCGTTCACGCGTGAGATCAATAGGTTATGGGTTCGAATCTCGCGGGGCAGGATCGTGGATGCGCACTGCCGGGGAGTCTCACGCTTAGACGAAACGGTCTTCCAATGCTTCCAGATAATTATTTGTTTCTTTCGTATTAAAATTTACACACCCCATAGTGATGAGTGTGTTTGGTATTATTGATTTAATATCCTTATTACTCCTAATCATGTTGTCAGATTTTCCTTTTATCGTAGAGATGACTAATACACCACCAGTTGATTATTATTGATAAAAAAATCTAATGAAAAAGTAGAAAGAAACTAGTTGGACAAAAGTAATATTTTCCCTTTACCCTTTTTTCCTTCTTTAGCTTTCCTCTCTCTCTCTCTGTCTCATTGTATTATCTTGTAAAAAGTAAAAAGAAAATGTATGCTTTCAATAAGTTAATTTCTAATTTTTATTGGAAAGAGTTATATGGATTTATGTTCAGTTTTTGTAAGAGTTTCAAGTAGTTAAGGTATTATTTTTGTTGCCTTTATTCTGTAACTTTTTCTTTCACTCTTATGTTTCATTTATCCTATACGCTTATACAATTGAAAAACTAAAGATAGACTTAAGTATAGTATTAATAATTATGTACACAATCTATTGTATCAAGATAACTATTTGCTTCAATGGTCAAATAATAAATAAATGAACTTATCCGCAAATCATATACATTGTGACAATCGGTTGCTGACCTTTGCTATCCAGTATGTATATGAAAATAAACTACAAGTGAGAGTATTAATATTACTAATGTCGATAAAGTAGGATAAGATTAAGTGGGTTTCGTTTTTTTTTTTATAAATTAAAAGTTTCCGTGATCTTGTGAATAATAATTAATCAAGTCATTTATGGAAAAACACAATTCTACTATATGTTATTGTTTAGTTAAGGAATGAGTTTTACATGTATCGTATTTGGGTGTCGTTATCTGGATATATCTTTATTTCATAATGTTTTAAATTTTTTTTAAAAAAAAGTTTACAATGAACAATTTATAGTTACTATTCGAGATATATTCATTGCGAATCTGTTTTATGATCTATGTAGCTCATTAAATCAATATAATGAAGATTTGTGATAATAAGGAATATATATATATATATATATATGTTTAACTGGTCATAACACACACTTTCACTTAATTATTCATCATACATATAATCCCTTTATGGACATTAAACTTATCAGTAACTAAAACAAAATGTTGTGAATCTTGACTTGAAAATTTGTTTTATTAAGTGTGCCATTGGACATTTACATGAACCAAATTTTGTATATATAATTCATTGTACTTCATTGTACTTTTTTCTTCAAAATGTGCATGTGTTTTCGTGCGTGTTTTGTTTCTATTTTAACTTGTATACCATTTGGTCAATCATTAAATTTCTCCCGTTACTTATCGACTAGTTTTAATCACATGATATTTTGGGATTGTTATGTGATTGGGCGTATATTAGTTTTAGGTAAGTATTACATTGTACACAATAAATAATGAATTATAAAAAATAATGTGACAGTGTATACACTAGTAATTTTACTGATCAAGATGGAAGTAGAATGTAAATATGTTTTTCGTATGTTAGTCACTTGAATCACTTCTAAGATTATTATTGATTTTAAAAAGTTTCTCTTGATATACATGTATCACTTAATTCCTTTTGGGAAATAACAGTAAGCGTAATTATGTACAAAGTAGAATTTGTGAACACTAACAATAAATAAGTCAACCCTTTATTTGATATTTTATATCGACTTATAGGTTCAATATATAGAAATTTAAAGCAATTAGTCCTTTTGATAAATTTCGATAATGTAGTTCTGATAATCTTCGTCTTCTTATTACATTATCGAAATCAATATATAGAATTGAAAATGAATAAATGACTTAATTTAATTAACAAAAGCGGCCATTGAAGAAATCTACACTGTAAATCTAGTATCTATAGTGTTTCTATACGGTTTACACTGGATAGTGACAGATTTATTACTTCGTTTCCATCAGTAATATGTACGCTTTGGTGTTATCAAAATGAAATATCTCACTGGTTTGATGTTATTCACAGGTTGTTACAGTGTATCATGAGTACATCAGTATTCTAATATCAAAGCTTAGCTTGAATCAAGACCAGCAATTTGTTTGATAGGTTAAATGTCTTTAATTATTTATAAGGTGGGAATGAACGTCATTTCTAAACTCATTATATGGTGGCTTGGCTACGTTTGACTTATTCCTATATGTCTGAACGGGAAAAGCCTTAAGAAACTATGGTATGAGAAGTTTTGAGTACATGGTGGTACAAGAGCAAAGGTAGGTATAGGCACTAACCATATGAGTAAAATTTAAAAATAAGTATGTGCTTCCGAGATCGTTGAAGAAGCAAAACTGATTCATCACTATAGTTGGCAATAGCGTTTTTTAGTGGCCTACAGAATATTCGTCATTTTTATTGTACTTCCCACTTTATACTGCTATCGACTACACTAAATCGAACTGTTCCACTGTTTTTGTCCTGAGATTGCATCATTATATTCTCCTGCCTTTATCTATTGCTTCATAATTCCACTGTCCTATTTGTGTAACGTATATTTATTTCGGTGCCTATTTATGTCGATAGTTATGTATTTCTAATAAATAAAAAGCGGTCATGTCAAAGCGTACTTGGAACGCATCGTTTTTTTTGGGGTAGATGCATGATCACTACTTATGTGTTTAAAATATTCAGAATTCATCCATTTGGTTGCAAATGCTCAGGTGTGAATATGATCTGAGGATTTCAAATCACCAAAAAACAACTTACTTGTTTTGTCATTTTTATTTTTAACAATGTAAATTCCAGTTTTTCTTACCTAAGCCCCTCACGACAGCCATTTTTCATTTTTATGGTAGTTAAAAGTTCTGTCTTATCCTTCTGTGGCTATTTTAGTATGTTAAATGTTTGCCTTATTTCTAGTGTTCGTATTTATACTCATTTTCATATGATGTTCCCCTAAAGGAGTCTCCGGTTTCTGCAAATAAAGCTGTCTTGCAATATTCCTTTCGAGTAGCCACGGTTTGGAAAGGAAAGGGAATTATAATATACCGATACCCGAATCATAGCTAGAATTATATTGCGACCTAGTTCAATATAAATTATGACCTCAACCTACTCACTTCTGTTTGGGTAGCTATGTAATTACAGTAGCTCCAATACAAATAAACTGTCTCAAAGCCATATGTGTAAATTTATACTTGGGAAAAGAGTTGCATGATTACTTATTCTACTATCATCCCCGTTGTTATAATTCTTTTTTAATTCTATGTGTTGATTGAAGTCCTTCAATCACAGTCCAGTATTTCCCTACTTTTTCATTTTGAGATATTTGTTTATCTTTCGTATAGTTTTGCGTTTCCGTTTACTACCATGGCAAATAATACGTTTGAATTTTACTAACTATTCAAAACGAATAGATATACGTGCATCCGAGTTCGAATCTTTGACAGAACTTGATTTTCATCAACTTTTCAGATACATTTTAATAATTCGTTTTCAGAATCACAAAATGCTCATTAACAAAGTTTTCTTTTAAGTAAATATTTAGTGTGGACAATTGTTTAAAACTAAGTATGATCTTTGCTTTATTTATTTATCTATACTTTATGCGATTAGATAAACACTTAATTTATTGTAAGCAAAGATGGATAGTGACTAGCAGTGTGATCCAGGACGTGCGTTTCGTCCTATTTGAGACTTGTCAGCTGGATGAACCTGCATCTCAGAGTTGATGTTCAAACAAACAATACTAAATAAACTTAATGTATTGTTCTAATAATCCCTTTCAAATTACACCTTAACAATCACTAGAAAATGAAAGTTTATGTGTAACACTTCAAATGTGTTTTGTATTTCACTTATTTCCGGTTAACTATGAAGCGTGAAATGAAATAGGAACAATAAAATTGTTTACTCAACTGTAACTGGAATTGAGTTTGTATTAAAATTTACTGATTTCTATGATAACAACGATAGTAAATTATGTCATATGCTTATTGATTACTAAAACTATCGAAGTCATAACGCAACACTTTTCCTAGTTTTAATATATTTTCTGAAGGTAGACGATTGAAGGAGATTAACGACAGACACCATCTGATGGAAAATAATCAGGTCAATAGACTTGTGTAATGTAATTCTACACTAACTGAATAAGTTTTCCTTTACGTACGTTTTGATTACTGACCATTTGCATGGTTGATATGCACTTGTTAAACGTACAAATAGAAGTGGAAAACGGAAAGTTAGAATATAAATGTTTATTAGAATTCATTTTCGTTTCGTTTTTAAATGAGATTAGGTTTGAATCTAACTGTTGTATGACTTACACAGATAAATTTCATTGTTCACTAATTAACGAATGTTTAATCCACAATTCACACAAAATTAAAATTTAAACGAACAATTAAATTTCAAAGAATTGGGTGTGTCCTATTTTGTTTTAATTACATCAAAGTTATAGTGCTATACATTCAGGTCTTTTCAATGTCATTTCTTGGAAATTAGCGTGTACACGTGTGCTTAAGCTTTGCTTATTTTGATTGCTTAAGATTGTTTCAAACTAATTTAAATGAACGAAATTATAATCTCCTAATAATTCGAGAATTAAAATATACTTTGGAAAGTCTTATAATTTCTAGTGCTATTATTATTCAGTAAAAATACTAGCACTTATCAATGATAAATATTGCCAGTTTGATAAGAAGTATCCTGTTTGTTATCCTTTGTTTACTGATGATTGTTTGTAACGACTGTAGACGTGATTAGTATAAAGGCGTTTGTGGAGATTATTAAATCCCGTAATTTATATCGCGGACTGACCTTAACTATACAACCATTTAAAAATAGGGATAATAACGATGTGCTTATTAGTGAATAACTTCGAGAGGAGATTCTCGGGGTTTTAATGAGCTGTGGCCACACGAACTAAATCGTATCGGGTAATGGGGAAGTTACTCACCAATGGGTGAAATATTGTGAGTCGGTTGTAGTTTGAAATGTAAGCCTTTAGATAGCTGCTCGCCATTAGATATTAAGTTCTTGGTTAGATCCCAGATGTTATCACGGATGGGTATTACCGAAGAATTTCGTACCAGGACGAACTAGTGATCTAGTGGTCAGTCTGAGGTTGTAAAGTATAAGATTATGGATGTTCTTTTGGAAATCAAGCCAAATTTGGTAGAATTATTGATCTAGTTAACTGGAACGAATGAACTTAGCCTCAAACCAAATTTAGTTTTAGTAATCAGTTTAGTCATCACTGTCTCTTCTAAATCTTGAATACGTTGTTATTTGTTGCTGGTCAATCACTATTTTTCACTCATTTTCTGTTGCCTTTTCTTTATATTTTTCGACTACCATCAGTATTATTTTCATTCATGAGTCTCCTATAACTGTGGCTGTGGTGACCATGGTTTGCGATATGTATTGAGGCCTTTAAGGCTATCGCTTAGTCCATAGTGTTAAACTTACTGAACTGGTGATAATATTGTTTTTTTCTTACACTTAAAGATAAATTACATTTCAATTTCAAACTAATCGACATTAATATATAGTTTCATTGTTGATGCTAGTCACATATTCCTATTCATTAATGCATATAACAGGTCGATGCAATTCTTATCATATCCTTTATAGATTTTCTCTCATGTTTGATTTAGTTGATTAATAGTTTTTTAAAAATGTTTTTCCATCCGAATTACTTTTTTAGCCTATTGTTAGAAGTAATTCAGTCGCTGAGTCTCATAACTCAATGAAACACAATTCATCCACTATCCATAATAACCCTACAAGGGATAGTAATGTAAATGAGTAAGTCTTTTCATTTCTAAAGTTTCCGATGAGTTTTTCTTCCATTCATCAGTTAAATGTTAGTCGTTATCTTATTCATCAAAAAATTTCTCACACTTATTATCTGCTTTTCTGTACAACTTTTAGGCTAAATCGTAAGAGTCATAATTGTTTTACCTATCTAACTATCCAGTATATTTTTATTTCAAACTATATACAAGATTCTCATTCATATAAAATTTCCTCTCGATGTTGCTGCAATGGTGTCACGCATTTTACTTTTTTTATTGGGTTCTGTTAGGCGCATTCGTTAGGATATTTATTTATTTTCCACTAAGAGAATCTTAGTTATTTCACCTTGAGGTTTCAGGGAGGTGCGTTGTGACATTTATAAGTGAAAAATTTTCATAGATTCACTTCAATTACTTAGAATACAGAAATAATAACATTATCTACTGAAAATAAATATACGCACTTCATTTCATATATAACAGAAAGAAGCTAGAATAGTTTCTAGTTGAGAGCGTGAATTATGATGTTGCGTAACAAACTGATGTCAAAGAGGTATAATCAAATCAACATTATCCCTTTAAATACAAAAATTTGGTCTAACTCTTTGGATAGTAATGTTTCAGCAAACACGATAAACTTGAAGCTGTTCACTAATTGATTATTCTGTAAGATACATCATTAATTCAGAATCATATCAATATTTATTTTGTTTATTCTTTCTATCCTAATAGAGCTCATATTGAAGTTGCACAATCTTCAAACTTGTCTTGTCGTTCATCATTTTCCTCAATACAAAAAGTGTTCAACTCTTCTAATTGTAATTTTAAAAATTCACAAATGGATACAACACCAGATACCTCTTCAAAACAAGTTGAATTAGAGGCAAAATTAGAAGAAGTAAGTTAGGAAATTACTTTTAATTATTTATCTTTTTATCATGTTTCCTTTTTTTTCATCAGAATAACATTGTATTTTTTTGATTTATACACAACTGTTTATGAAGGCAAATAAACTTGTTTAATTAAGTGTTTTTGTTCTTACTTTTGTATATTCTGAAGAGATTTCTTTGTTACGAATTAATATCAGCTGATATCAACGTTACATCATCTTAATCATCCATTATTGGCAAAACCCCTTTAATTTCCTAACCAATATTATCTATCCTAAACTGCAGTAATTTAAGAGTTTTCATTATTATTATTAATGGCTTTATTCAATATTATAATCTGGTACAATATAGAATTTTCAGCACGAGTTATTTCAACAAGTTTTTTTTCCAGAAGGGATTTTGTGGAGAATTTAGTATTTTCATAGTGGAAATCATGAGTCAATTGAAGCTAGACCACCATGGAAAACCTGGAAGCACTGAACGGCCGTTTCGTCCTATTATGGGACTCCTCACCAGTGCGCATCCACGATCTCGCACTCGCAAAATTCGAACCCATGACCTACCAGTCTCGCGCCAGAGCACTTAACCGATAGACCACTAAGCCGGCACCCAACGGTATTAATGTCTAACTTCAACCAATCCACGATTTTGAGCAACCGTTCACCAATTGTCTTCAGTGAGTTGATATCTCTACAACAGACTTGGTAGAATCCCGCTGGTCACTGCTTCCCAATAGAACTCAAGGAAATATCTCTTGAAGTCAGTCACTAGTTAGCATATGATTATAGATCAGAAGGGGTTTTGTGGAGAATTTAGTATTTTCATAGTCTAGCTTCAATTGACTCATGATTTTAACTATGAAAAGTTTTTTTATTTATTACCAAAACAAAAGAGAAAAGAAATGAAAAAAAGAGGTTTAAAAAAATCTGAGTCTGTACAAATCATGGAATTTGAGACGTGCTAAAGAATACAGGTTATTTACTAGGTCAACTCTAACAGCTTGTTCGTCACAAAGTATATTTGCTAAGTAAGGTATTACAGAACATTTATGGACTTGCTTGCGTGCATAGATTTTAATGTATTTACGTCTCGTTCTACTAGAAGATATACAAGGAGAAATATATGAATAAAGTGGATGGTTATTATCTGATAAGATAACATCTGCCAAGAGTTTGAAAGATTTAAGATGTCTATCCACGAGCATAATAATAATGACCTCAAAAGATTCACCACACACCTTGCAAACTGCCTTCAGCACTCTCCGCAAAACAACAAAATCTTTTCTCAAAAGCCCAGGAAAGAATAATGGAGAACACTATATTGAATAATAGGTAATATGCAGGAATTTATGATGCTTTGTAAACTTGTTCAATTGACTTTTGTTCCATTTACTACTATTCTTGTTATCGATTACTCAATTTACTTAATATAATGAAATTTCACTTTTATTATTTTTTCTCTCGTTTGATTAGTTAGTAACTCTTAGGGACACTGAAATAATTTAACATCTAAGTAGTTTAGATTTCAAATAAATTTCTAGTTAACATTTCATTAAACGTTATTATCAGGTCATTTAGTTATGGAAAATGAAAAAAGGGGGGTCTTGGAGAAAAGTGAATTATGTTATTTTTATTATAACGGCACAAAGTATTGGAAAAGTTGAAACTTTCGTAACTATTTCTTTGATGAAATTCATTTAGTATTGTTTGTTTGAATCTTCCCATCGATGTGTTAGGACTGAAACTAGTCAGTCTCTAATTGGCATATATGCATACTGTGCATATTGCCTCGATATAGCCTAAATTCACATGTATGGTAAGCAAAGATGAATAGTGACTAGCAGTGGAATCCAGTTTGACGCTCGTTTCGTCCTATTTTGGACTCGTCAGCTGGATGTACCTGCATCTCAGAGTCGGTGTTCAGGACTCAGTGGCCGAGTGGATAACACGATGGCGTTTGAAGCAAAAGGTACTGGGTTCGAGTCCCAGAGTGAACATCAACTCTGAGATGCAGGTACATCCATCTGACGAGTCTCAAATGGGACGAAACGCGCATCGTGGATTCCACTGCTAGCCATTATCCATCTTTGCTTACCATTTTATTTCTTGGATTATTATTTTTATACAATAATTAGAGAGTAATTGCATTACTGTATTTCTGTATTCTCATTGTAAGCTTCCAGTGGACCTATTCAATATCATTATACGTTTTTTTACTATTCTCTAATCATTGTTAACTAATTATGTACTGTTTACTTCGCTCTGTTCGATTTATTTCACGGTTGTGTTTAAAATACGATTTCTGATTTGGTGTGTTGTGTGCTCTGATTATTCGTATCTGTAAGTTAGTTCGTGCATGGAATAGATGTGGAGTGTACCGGGTGATTAGTATATATATATCATGGTAAGCTGTCTGCTGCATTCTCTTCGGACTCAAGACAGGGATAGAGAAAAGTTTTTGGACAGCGGCCCATTAAGAGTGTAGTCTGCGTTGCCCAAGGTTAACTGTGCATGTCAGAATGTATAATTGCCAAAGGCTGGTTAGGTGTTCCATCCGAATAATTTAACATAGATTAGCCTGGCTTAGATAACTAGATTAAGCTGTTTTGGTGTTTTGTGCTCAAGTTAATTTTTCCCCCAACTACTTTTACATCACCTAACATTCTAACATGATGTTCGTGATATCGATTCACCTGACCGACCGAATTCAGTAAAGATTGAAGGATTAGACGAACATAACAATGGAATCTATCCAGTGATCGATCAACTGTTATTTGAAAATCAGTTGTTAAGGTTTCATTAATAAGCCTAGTAACTTTATTTTTAGTTAGGATTCAATTAGTTATATGAATAAAAGTTTAATGAAGAATACTGATAAACGACCATATATATAATTTCCTGCATTCAAAGTTAGTTTCTTGTACAAACTGATACGAGTTGAGAAACTGTTTCAAACTGTGTCTCATTCTGTAGTTAGTCTTATATAGTCCTACTTTGAGATTTATTGTGTGTACTCGCAATGCCGCAAAGTGAATCTTCAGTTTATGTAACGTGTACAATGCCTTTAAATGAGTACGTCAGTGTACTATGCTTTCTTTGCTTTCTTTGATCTTATCATCACTGTTAGTATCCGTTGTTTTCTTTTTAAGATATTGTTAACCGAACATTTTATTATTAAACTATTCGTTTTAAATTAAAATCTTATTTAAATAATTATCCAAGATCAAATCGACTGCACATACTTGTTTGTATATTTCTATTCATATTACAAAAGATGCACACTAACATATATAATTATCAATTTTTTATACTTTGCCAAGTGATTGTTTAACTTCGTTGCCATAGTAATCACTACAGTTTATCAGTTTTGTTTATGCTCTACAAGTAATAAATCATTGTATTATTATAATAATTATTATTGTTTATTATTACTGATAACGAATAGGAATATGCATTATATACCAAATTCATTTATACGTACTAACAACTATTTTATCGTATTTTGATCAACATAAAATTTGATCATATTTCTTTTTCTAAGATCAAGTTCACTTTAAGTTCATTTAAATCTTTTTCTTACTATTATTATTATTATTATTATTATTATTATTATTATCTCTAATACTGGTATAATTGACGAGACTATCTGGTTACTTAATGTTAATATAGAAACACACGATTTACAGGCCTATGCTTCAACGAAACAAAGAACATGTTCATTTTGTTTGTGTGACTAGTCCTAAAAATATACATTAAATGACTCATACAAATTTGTCTACAATCAGTATGAACTAATTATGTACATGTGATATGGATAATGATTTTCCATAAATGAAATTATTTTCATGGGATTGATTATGTGTTTGTAACCGCTGTCTTATTTGTGTAACCCTTAGTACTGATCGAGTTCTGTTGACCAGTCGTAATAACTCAACATCCTTTAAACTATTTTTTCTATACTTGTTGGTTAGAGATATTTACATTAATATTGAATAATAAGTCCTTAACAAGCGAGTCGTACTCCGAAACTTTTCTTAATCACGTGATATCAGTAGGAGAGAATATCTTCGTGTTCACATACTGATTCATTGAATCCTATCCATTGATTATATGAAGTTAGATACTGAACTCAGGTTTATTGGACAAATTCGCGGTTAAAATGTTCTCCTTTAGTGCAGTTTTAGTGTAGATTGGCCAATAAGTTCGGTCATGGGTGTGTTTTCTTTGTAAAGTATATTGCCGTACAATTTCTCAACTATCAGTATGTTTTGTGGAGATTATAGAATTTCCATAGACTTTCAATGACGAAATGATCTTAGTTAGACCACGACTGAGAACCCGAAAGCACTGAATAGTCATTTCATCTTAGTATAGTATTCCACAGTACTCATTCATGACCCCGCATCTGGGAATTGAACCCAGGATCTTCGGTCTCGTGCGTGAGCGCATGATTCCTCTATCACTGTGCCGATATTCAACAATGTTATTTTCTGAGTTCAATCAATTTACTGTATTGCGCAACCATCTATCATCACTTGCTGTGGATAACTGTCTCACATCCGACATATTTGAACCCCACTGGTTACAGCTTCTCACTTCAGGAATCGTATTGTGAAGCTAGTCTCTAGTGAGTACATCATTGTTGTTGATGTGATATGTCGAGGCTGATATCTACTTTGTAAAGTATCTTGTCATATAGTTCCTCAGTCTAACAAATGAATACTCTTACTTTGTATTATTCTAGCTGATCAAATTTTACGTCTAAATCTTGTTTAAACTTTGATCATGCTTTAATACGAGCACGCATTTGCTTAAGCTCCACCGGACGCAGAAAAACCACATTGAGAAGACCTATTAGAGTTAAACTCAGTGACGAACACGATGACGAGCGATAAAAAAATCAAATCTAAGTTAACCAAAATTCTACGGAACGATCGTGAGCAATGGTCGGCAACGAAAGCAAAAGTGATGGAAAAGGCAGTCGCTGTACGTGACACTAGACAGTTTTT